GCAGTCTCAGGTTCTGCAGGCCACCTCTTTTACTAGAGGTGCCATCCAGGGCAAGCATTAAAGCAAATTTATCATGTTGGCCAGGCCTCTCCCTTTATACTCAGAGAAACAGCAGCCAGGACAGAATCAAAAGGACTTGTCTAAGGCAGCATATCCAGAAGCAGCTGTATCAAGCCCATAACTGTCTATTGCCTGTCTGGGTACCACATCCAACAGAAGCTTTACATATCTTTCTAAGATAGCCTGACTCAATGCAGGTGAGAGGCATGTTCTCAGGACCTTAGAGGCTGATGGGGAGGTGAGGGTCTGGGATCCCTGCTCTCTACCACACCCACCTGCCCCGTCCTCCAGACTGAGCCAAAATATCTGTCTCTGAACACCATCTTCTGAATCTTAACCTCTAATTCCCATGCTTCTCACGTCTCTGATGGGATCCCTGTTTGCCTCACACATACTCCCAAGCTTAGTGACAGAGAAATGAGGACTGTGGTGAAGTCGGTCAAGGCAGTCTGGTGATGGGACCCACACTCTCTACTGAAGTGCTTGATCCTAAACAGCTTGGCCAGGGTCTTGAGGGTGGAGAGCTGGAGGCTCCAATGGGTCCTAGGTAACAGAATAAGGGGGGGGGTGAGGGTTAGGAGCTTACTAGGGACCTGTCTCAGTTATCTGTCCTACATGTGCCCTGAACCTCCCCAAGATCCTCATGCTGTCTACCGCGATCCTAGATTGCATTAGAGGATGGAGTGCACATCACCTGTGGGACATAATTCCCTGTCAGGGAAATTTCCTTCTGAATAACCCTTTCTCTTGTCCCCTTAATCCACTCCCAAATCAAGGGCTAATCTAGGGTTTGGTCTGTAAGTCATCCTGAGAGTTCAGGGTCACCTCACCTGAGACAGAGAGCTCCACAGGGGCACTGACATGTGACAGCAGGTAGGGAGATGAGTCTCGAGAACCATAGCACCTGTAGGTCCCTGAGAGAGCAGAGGTCACAGCACTCATGGAGAATTCTGCCTGGAACTCCCAATCTTAGAACTTTTATTTTATATATTTTATTCACTGGAGATGGAGTCCTGCTCCCTCCTTGGTGTGGAATCCATGAACCTCTGGAGTCTGGGCACATTGGAGGTCATAGCCACACTCTGCTTAGAGAAAAAATGCAATGTATTGAGGTTAGACAAAGTTAACAGTTATTTCTATGAGGCATTATTGCACAGGTCTACATCAGTGTTTCAATCATACAAGTACTGTCTCCTCAGGGTGCATTCACACCTACAGGCTCATAAAGACAGAGGAAAGGACACTAAGTCCAGTCCTGGCGGATACAGTCTCCTTACTGAACTCTACAGTAATCTATGCCTGTCAGCCTTGTTCACACAATTGGTGGCCTAGGGTGGGACCATGACTCTCTCGAGTTGGGCAGAGTCTTATAAGCTTCATTCTGTCCAAGAAAGGAGAACACACCATGAGTGTTCTTGCACTCTGAACTAACAGCAACTCCATAGACACAGCATGTCCCTGGGACTGGACCAACAAATGCTGACCAACATGGGTCCACATAGATGGTTCCACTTGCTGCAAAAATGTAAGCTCACATGTGGTCAATGGCCAGTAACACTCTGCAGCTGCTGCTGGTCAAAGGTGAGAAGTCTCACCCTGAATCGATTATTTCAAATACTGAAGGTCTTTCCTGTAGCTGTGTGTTGAGAGAACCACAGATGGAATGTCACTGGTGTTGCTGAGCTCTCCTTTGTCAGAGTGTGAGGGAAGGGAGACCTGCAACAGAGGATAGGGGAGGGCAGATGTGGAATAAGAATTCACACACTGTCCATCTTCACAAGAGGGTCGTCCCAAGAAGAATTCGTTACTATAGTCCCAGAATTGATCTATTCAAGAACATTTCAGAAACTGGCTTTCCAGTGTCTCTCAGATGTCTAAGTAAGGATGATATACCAAGGTATTTACTGGGCAGAGGATTACACTGGGTTCTCCTAGTTTGAAGTCTCCTTGGGCTCTGTGAGCAGCGTTGGGGGCGGGCAGTAAAATGGCACATAGCTCTAGCTCTCTGTTTCTGGTGAAGTATGTCATAGAAGATGGGTCCAGCTCGTCTTGTCAGAAGTCTATGCATAACATGGATAATACCACTGAGGAATCCCAGAAGGTTAAGACCATAATAAGTGATGCAGGCCTGGAAAGAGAAGGTTTGAACAGAACAGTGATGGGAGTGGGCAAGTGATAAAAGACACAGATACGCAAGTCCTCAGAGACAGGCTAACGTGTGATGTCAGATATATATGAGACACTATTTCAGCTCCCTCCTTTCTCTCACACAGCTCCCTATTAAGGCTTCTCTGTCAGTGCAGCTAGGACTGATGGACCTGCTCATATCATCAAGAAGCTTGGTGGAAATTTCTCCCATCTGGGGATAGACTAAAAAAAATGCTCAACTAAATGTTATCAGGAAACAAACACATCCTGATATGTGGAAGGAATGATAGACCTCATCAAATTGTCTGCAATGCAGAATTCAAGTTTAGGTTAAATATGCAAACCTTCAAACTCCTCTGTGTGTGTGTGTGTGTGTGGTGGAGTGTGGGTGTGTGGTGGAGTATGGGTGTGTGGCTTCAATCACAGGATAATATATGATGGAAAAAGTATTCCCTAGAACAGAAAAAGAATTTGATCAAAAGTCAATAATCAAGATCTGAACCTACTTCAAAAAGTTTCAAAGATCACTCACTGTGGGGGGGGGGGAAGCAAAACACTACATACTGTATGACCGCAATGGGAGTTACACAGACAGAGAGCCTACATTCAAGATCCCAGCCACATAGATTCTGCCCAATACTGAGGTGAAATAAAGGCAGAGACTCCCCTTCATTCCACCATGAGCTGTTTCTCAAAAGCAACAGGAAGGAGCCTTAGTCAACTGAACAAACGTGAGTGGACAGAAGCATTCAAGGACTAACACAGCAGAGTCTATCTGGCTATATGGTCAGCCATAGTGGTGCCTATAGAGTGCCATGGGTAGAGGCCGTGGGTAAGGTTGGAGAAGAATCAAGACCCCACATCCTAACTTCATATCAACCAGAAATGGTGATGCCTCTACTGGAATTCTACATTTAATCTATCTGTGCAGACAGAACTAATGAGATGTCCTGTGTGCAAATCAGTCAGCTGGGGCAAGTTCATCATGTGTGGCTCATCCAACCATGTCAAATGTAGGTCTTATGCTTTGTAATGTTCAGTGGGAAAACCAGGGTCACTCCAAGGTGAAATTTGTTCATTGCAGCAGCAGGGGAACCAGGCTCTGGTGACCTGATTGATTTTTGCTTCACAGAAGCAATGTTATTGTTATACAATTTGCACATCACCTGTTCAATGTCCTCATACCAAATCCTCTGATAGGAATCTCCCCCAAAAAGAGACAAAGGCCAAAGCATTTCTCAGTCAAAGGGCTTCTCAGTTTACTGAGTCCTACAACCAAGTTTGCATGGGTTTCAATGTTTCAGGAAAAACTCGGATAAGATTTACAGACTTCAAACAGAGGGTACTGAATGCAAGATGTAAACATCAGAAAAGGCAGCTCAAAGCTCAGGTGCTAAAGCTCCTGAGTACAAGCCAGCTGCAGTGTTCTTCAGTAGCTTCCCCTACAGAATCAGGAGGGGATGGCACTCCTGTGGGACTTAGGTGTGAGCTCAGGGCAGTCAGAGAAACCCTGATTGGGTCAAAGCGAATGCGCATCCCCAAATCTCAGGAAAAACAGATGCTCATGAGATCAATTGGAAAGAGACGCTCTAGCCATGTGACAGAAAGACCATGACAATTCAAAAAGGTGGAAAAGCACAGGATATGTGGCAGGAATATCCTCTTAGAAATGGATACGATGAAATACGTGGGGCATATCCGCAGGGTGGGAGCTCTATAGTTAATATATTTCCATTATTTCTTTGAAGATAGTTGCATGTATAAGATCATGTTCGACACATACCATAGGGGTCTTTTCCTTTGCTTTAATTACAGAGGGCCAGATATAACCCAGGCTGTCTCCAAACACGTTGCTTAATAAGAATGTCCTTAAACTCCCAATATTGTTTGCTCTACCTCCTGAATGTTGAAGTCAGACTTCAGCCACATCATCAGATTTATGTATCGCAGGGGCTCAAACACAGACAGCTAAGAATGTCACACAAGCACTCTACTAACTGAGAAATTTACTGATTCGGTATAGAATACACAGAGACAGAACTTGTCCTTGGACCTGTGTGTGACATATGTGAATTTGCACACATAATGAAAAAAATGAATGCAATTTATTACTATTACATGAGTATAATTTAAAATTAAATGCAAATAAATAAGTGTAGTAATGGAAAGTACACATATCAAGAAGGAAGAAACCACCAGAAAAAGTAACGTACACGTAGTTTTGTTTGTTTTTTGGGGGATTTATTTATTACTATGAATAACCTTCTACCTGGATGTGCACCTGCACACCTGAAGAGGGCACCAGATCTCGTTACAGATGGATGTGAGCCACCATGTGGTTGCTGGAAATTGAACGCAGGACCCTGGATCAGCAGCCAATGCTGTGAACCTCTGAGCCATCTCTCCAGCACCTCATGCACACTTGTGAGCCAGCAATGAGACTATGAGGAAGTGTATTACAAATGTTATTGCATGCAGATGTACAGAGGCAGACTCTGCACAGAAACCTTCCAACATTTTTAATATAAAAAATATTTCTCATAATAAAATGTGAACAGGAACAAAGCAAGCTGACCTGAAAATTTTCATTTCTTACTTATAGTATTCATACTTGTCTGCTACCATCTGGTCCTCACAAAGATGATGACATTTACACAGACAATGAAAGGATTTTGGAAATGACAACCACTAAATACTGAAGCAGTCTCCTGCCTGACACGGCCACAGCGTTGGGGAAGTCAGGGCCTGGTGTGAGAAGAGGGCAGTTCCCCTTCCTGTGGGGCTGCTGAAGTACAACCATGTCATGGGGAGTGGGCTGTCTCAAGAGGCCGCACCCTATGTCTCCTGCCCCTTCTACAGACTCTGTAGCTCTGCCCATTAGTACAATAGCAGCCTCCAGGAGGAGATGCCATGACCTTCACCTTCACAGCCCTGCTCTGTCTGGGTGAGATGTGGGGATGGGGAGGGGATATGGAATCTGGGATTGACGCTGCCCCACAGCCCAGCACTGGTCAGTAGAGAAACCCCAGGGCATCGGGAGGTTCTGCAGAGTTGAGGACCTTCACAAGCTTCAGGGACAAACCTCTCACAGGGATCTCTCTTCCAGGACTGGCTCTGGGCCTTGGGACACCAGTGCTGGCAGGTGAGTGAGGGTCTGCAGATGTCCTGACATCACTTGTCATCATTCCTGGAGCCGTTCTGGGCAGTGAGGATGGAAACCACACATGTGTGCTGCTGCCTCTGGGGATGGCTGGAGGGTTGGGGTCGGGGGCTGCTATCTGATGATGGCTGCCCTAGTTCCTAGCTGGTCCTTTCCTTGCAGGAATTCCACTGAAACCTGTGCTAAGAGCACAGCCAGACTATGCTGTCCCCGAGAATTCGACAGTGACCTTGCTGTGTGAGGGGACCATGGGAGCTACATACTATAATCTGTATAAAAATGGAAAACGATATTCACTGCACACAGAGCTTTTACAGAATAACAGCAAGGCTGCATTCTCAATATCAAAAATAGGTCCTCATGAAGCAGGTAGATATTTCTGTGAATATTGGACCAGTGATGGATGGTCAGGGTACAGTGACACCGTGGAGCTCATGGTGACAGGTGAGAGGACTCAGAGTCCACAGACTCAGGGTTGACTGTTAAGAAGCGGGTCTGTACACGGGGATGACTCCCCTCATAACCCTGGAGGATAATGAGGCCTTTGAGGACATTTAATTGACTAATTCCCGCTTCTGTCCAGGGGCCTCCAATAAACCCAGCCTGACAGCCCAGCCCAGCCCTGTGGTGACTGAAGGAATGAATGTCACCCTCCAGTGTGTCTCAAGGCAACCACAAAACAGTTTCATTCTGACTAAGGATGGACCACCAAAGAGCTCTTCGACGCTGGGATCACAGTATAACCACTCTACTGATCCTTATCAGGCCCTGTTTTCTGTGGGTCCTGTTACCTCCAGCCAAAGGTGGACATTCAGATGCTATGGCTTTAATAAGAACAGCACACTGGTGTGGTCAGAACCTAGTGAGCCCCTGGAGCTCCTGTTCTCAGGTGAGGAACCCCAGCCTTTCCTTGAATGATGCTAAAATGGCAAAGATGCTGAGGGATCCTTGGTGTGTGCTGTGTGAGGATCCAGGGCTCCTAAGCCCATAGACACAGATAGTGGGAGACAGAGGGACACAAGACTCAGAATCCAAGGCAAAGAGTGGCAGCAAAGCCCAGGAGGTCCAGGACGAGGAGGAGTCTTTCTGGACACCTCTATTACAATAGATCAGCTTAAGTAGCATCAAAAAGAGCTCAGGGCGCTGCACAGAAGAGATAGAGGAAGTGTTGGAGAAGCCTGAGCACTCAGATACCAGGAGAACACGGCCCACAGGATCAACTAAGCAGGGATCACAAGGGCTCAGAGACTGAAGCCACAATCAAGGCACATGCATGGATCTTCCCTGAGCCCTCTGCACACACGATGTGCTGGTTTGTCCTGGGTTCTTTTGTTTGTTTGCTTGGTTGGTTGATTTTGTTTTTTAGAGGTTTAATGTGTCCCTGTCTGCCCTGGAAATCACTCTGAAGACCAGGCTGGTCTGTAACTCACAGGGATCTGCCTCCATTTGCCTCCTGAGTGCTAGGATTAAAGGCATGTGCCACCACTGCCTTACTCATAACTATAGGAGACTGTAGGTCTCTGACTGCAGAGGGGATCTTTCTCCTCCTACCGGGTTGCCGTCTCTGGCCTTAATAGGGTGTTGTCTAGTCTCACTGCATGTTATTCTGTCATGTTCCAGTAATATCACTGGGAACCCTACGCTTTTCTGAAAGGAAGCAGGAGCAGTGTATCTGGGGGAGAGGGGAGGTTTGCAGACTGCGGTCAGGGTGCATAGCTTGACAGAAAAATAACTTAAATGGAAAAAAAGTGCTGTCTGCAAGTGTAACTGATTCTTTGCCACTTTGACACAGACCCACCTCCTTCTCTATTTCCCAGCAGGGTCCCTCCACAAACCCACCCTCAGGGCTGAGCCAGGCCCTGTCATCGCCTCAGGAAGATCCATGAACATCTCCTGTCAGGGGACTCTGGATGCAGAAATGTGTTTTCTGCATAAAGAGGGTACACAGACCACAAAGGAGCTTGGGAACAAGTGCACACGCTCCATTCCTTCTGTGGCACAGCAACATGCAGGACAGTATCGCTGTTACTGTTACAGCTCAGCTGGCTGGTCAGAGCGCAGTGACACCCTGGAACTGGTGGTGACAGGTGGGGGGACAGTTGAAGTCTCAGCCCCAGGCCCTGCTCTCAGATGTATTACCTTCTCCCAGCCTAGGCCTGCACAGCACTGTGACTGTGCAATCCCATGTAACTGGCTGCTCCTTCTGTCCTAGGAATGTACAATGATAACCCCTTCCTGACAGCACTGCCCAGCCCTGTGGTGACCTCAGGAGGGAACATGACTCTGCAGTGTGCCTCACGGTATGGATATGACAAGTTCGTTCTCACCAAGGAAGATGAGAAATTCTCCAGCTCCTGGGACTCACAGTATATAGGCAATGGCCACCAAGCCATATTCTCTGTGGGCTCTGTGACCCCTGTCCACAGCGGAACATTCCGATGTTATGGTTACTTAAAGAACACCCCACAGTTGTGGTCAGTACCCAGTGACCCCCTGAAAATACACATCTCAGGTGAGTCAGCCACATCATTGGCCAAGTGTTTTTGACACCTCTAGGGAGTTTTAAGTAGAGAATGACTAAATGGAGAGCCTGTGCACTGAGCCAGAGCCTGACACCTTGGGAGACGAAGGGAATGTTCAGGAAAGATTGGGGGCAGATAGGTGTTTGAAAAAAGAAAAAAGAAAAAGAAAAATCAGCTTCTTAATCACTAGCCTGTCTCTTTCCTTCCAGGCCTGTCCAAGAAGCCCTCCCTGCAGACTCAGCAAGGCCACATCCTGGACCCTGGAAAGAGCCTCACCCTGCAGTGTTGCTCTGACATCAACTATGACAGATTTGCTCTGTACAAGGTGGGGGGAACAGACTTCACCCAGCATCATGGCCAGAGGACCCAGGCTGGCCTCTCAGTGGCAAACTTCACACTGGGCTCTGTGAGCAGAACTACCGGTGGCCAGTACAGATGCTATGGTGCACACAACCTCTCCTCTGAGTGGTCAGCCTCCAGTGACCCCCTGGATATATTGATCTCAGGTGAGGAACTAAATAGAATCAATCTGGTACTGTAATCTCTCCTGGGGGATGTAAGAGCTGACGGCTGGGATGAGGGACTGGGAACTTATTACAGAACAGATGCAGAGACGGGGAGCAGGAGAGAGGGTAAGGCAGAGACAAGAAGAGTCCCAGGTGCTCAGAGTCAAAACCCTGTGAAGTCTCAGCTCAGACCATTGAATGCAGCCTCTCATTGTCTCTGTCTGTTTAGGAGAGATTCCTGCAACTCCTACCCTCTCAGTGAGGCCAAACTCCACAGTACAGTCTGGAGAGGACGTGACCCTGCTGTGTCAGTCAACAAACAAAGTGGATACTTTCATTCTGTCCAAGGAGGGAGCAGCACATCAACCCCAGCAAATGAAATCAAAGTCCCAAGATTGGGGGTCCCAGGCTGAATTCTCCATGAGTGCTGTGACCTCTGCCCTCTCAGGCACCTACAGGTGCTATGGTTCTCGAGATTCATCTCCCTACCTGCTGTCACATGCCAGTGCCCCTGTGGAGCTCTCTGTCTCAGGAGAGGTGACCCTGAACTCTACAGGTAATTTGAACTCCAAACTCTAGAAGAGCCCTTGGATGGATGGTGTGTGACTAAAAGGACAACAGGAAGGGTTAGTCACAAGGCAACTTCCCTAGTAGAGAACTGGATGCCAACAGGGTCCCTCAAGTAATGCCCACTCCATCCTCCATTGCAGTCTAGGTTTGGGGTAGAGAGCACGAGAGTCTTGGGGAGGTTACTGGGCAGATGTAACAGACAGCAGAGTACAGCAGAGTTAGGTCCCTGGTTAGCGTCTACTCATCACCCTGCTTGTTCTGTGTGCTGGGACATATTAGAGCCTCCTGCCCACCACACTCAAGACCCTTGAAACAGCTGCTAAGTTTCAGTCCCCTCAGTGGAGGGAATGGTGTCCATGCCCAGGCTGCCTCACTTGAGCCCACCAGTGCCCTCAGTTCTCTCTCACTTAGCTTGTGAGAGTGGGAGGCAAACAGAGATCCCAAAAGAGAACCCAGAAGCCCAGGACATACATACAGAAGATGGTGTCCAGAGAGGCATCCTTTAGATCAGTGTGGAGGATGGGCAGGTGGGTGTGGTGGAGAGCAGGGATCCCAGACTCTCACCTCCCCATCAGCCTCTAAGGTCCTGAGAACACGCCTCTCACCTGCATTGACTCAGGCTATCCCAGAAGGCTATGTAACCATCCTGTTGGATGTGGTACCCACATGGACCATAGCCAGTTATGGGCTTGATACAGCTGCTTCTGGATATGCTGACTTGGACACATCCTTCCCATTCTGGGCTGGCAGCTGTTTCTCTGAGTATGAAGGGGAGAGGCCTAGCCCACATGTGTCAATTTCTTCAGTGCAGGCCTTGGATGGATCCTACTAACAGAGGAGGGCTGCAGAACCTGAGTCCTCAGCAGGTCTGTCCCACCATGGTAGTGATGTGTACAAGGGTGTGGCACAGGACCATGGCAGGGCATTCCTGCTGCCTCATTCCAGCTCATGAGGCTCAGCCCAGGTGGAGAGAAAGGAGGTGGAAGTCAGAGTCCCTGGGTTCAACTCCCAGCTCTGCCACTTCCACTCAGGTCATCTGTGGGGATAGAAAAAGAGACAACTCCATGTTGCATGGTTGTGAGGATGGGAGATGATGAGTGCAAAGACCAGTGTGGGTCCATCACCCAGTAGGTGCTTAGGAAAGCGTCAAGAGTCCCTACTCATGGTACTCATGGTGTCCCCTGTACCTCAGGCCTGGAAAGGTACCTGAAGGCTCTGATCGGAGTCTCTGTGGCCTTCCTCCTGTTCCTCTTCATCCTCATCTTCCTCCTCCTCCGACGAAAGCATCAGGGAAAGTTCAGGAAGGATGGTGAGTCTGGTGTGGGTGACCGAGGTCTCAGGTGGTGATGGGTTCTAGAAGCACTTGCAGATCTCAGATGAGAAAGTCATGGTCTCAGAACCTGTGCGATGTCAGTGCCTCTATGAGCTTGGCCATGTCCTGGGATGTCTGCTCACTCATCCCTGTTGTAAAGGTCCCTCCCTCCCCTCCTTCCCCACACATGCCTGGGGGGCCCCCAGCTGAGACTCCTCTCTTTTGCAGCCCAGAAAGAGACAGAACTGCAACTTCCTGCAGGAGCTATAGAGCCAGTAATCAGACACAGAGGCCGCCAGAAGAGGTAACTCAAGACCAGGGGCCTAGACCCCACCTTCCTGACACAACTCACTGCCCCCTGATGTCTCCTTGTCTTTCCAGATCCAACCCAGCTGCTGCCACCCAGGAAGAAAGTCTTTGTGAGATAAAGGGGTCCTGGGGGCGGAGTCTGAGGTCTCTGCACTGCAGGGGTGGTGAAGGGGTCCTGGGGGTGGAGCCTGAGGTCTCTGCACTGCAGGGGTGGTGAAGGGGTCCTGGGGGTGGAGCCTGAGGTCTCTGCACTGCAGGGGTGGTGAAGGGGTTGTGAGGTCTGCTGTTTGGGTCTGAACTTCACACTATGAACACATGGATATCACCACACTCCCTGCTTCTCTGTTCCCACTTGGACGAGGCAGGAAACTAGAGGTCTGAGACATTGCTAGACTCTGGTCAGGAGACATTCTGTTTTTTGGGTTTTTTTTTTTTTTTTTTTTCTGCTGTGACAGATGCTTCAGTGGAGGACAAGAAACCTAAGGATGGTGTCGAGCTGGACATTTTGGTGAGGTTCCTGTCACTGTGTGCAGTCTAAGAACTTAGGGCCCAGTATACAACAGGAGGCCTTCTTTGTGCTTCTTTCCCTGGTGCTCAACATCATCCATAGCCAAACACTGCCTTCTACATCTACCTGCCTCCAGTGTGCTATGGCCTAACTCTATCCTGGGTTTCCTGGGAATCTTGGGTCTAATTGCTGCTGTCAGCTTTCTGTATCCTTGGCATCTGTCTGGTTGTTTTGGAGGAGACAGCCTAGATGGAGAAGCCATCAGAAGCACCTTAGGGACCGGAATCTACAGGAAGGATCCATAGGCATTTGGGCAGAAATATGTTGTTTCCTTTTGTAGTTGTATTTGTGGGTGGTGTGTTTTGCCTTAATATATGTATCTGTGCCACATGCATCCATGATGCTCCCAGAGGCCAAAAGCGAGTTTCAGATACACTAGAACAAGAGTTGCTGATGAATGTAGGTCGCCATGTGGGTTCTGGGAATCAAACCTGTGTCCTCTGCATTAGCAGTCAGTGCAGTTAACCACAGGGCCATCTCTTCAGATCCCAGTAAAGTATTTTCAGGAAGATGGGCACTGTGGGTACAGTCAAGACAGCCTAGTTTAGAATGCCAGGATAAGAGGCCAGAACTAGAGGAAGGAAGCTATAGGAGATCCCATCAGGGACGCTGTCATCTAAAGGGGACACTCTGACTGTGCTGTGGAAAACTGCACCGAGCAAAGTCACAGAGGAACAAAGGTGACATTATCTGAACCTCACTATTATCCTGCTACAGAGGCCACCTGAGGAAGACACACAGGGAAGGATATATGCCCAGGTGAAAGACCCCAGGCTCAGAAAAGCAGAAGCTGTCCTGCATTCTGCCGTGTCTAGAGAAGGCTGGGACACGCAGAAGAAGGCAGAGAGTCAGACACGTTGGTCCTGTATTCTCCAGGCTTTGTGCATCCTGCAAGTCAAGCATAAACCTTCCTCTCATTCTCTCCCACTCCAGGCTGCTGACTACAAAGAGCCCCAGGATGTGGTCTACGCCCAGCTGTGCAGCAGCTCACTCAGACAGGGGACCCCTGCACCTCCTCCTTCCCTGGCTGGAGAAGCCCCAGAGGAGCCCAGTGTGTATGCTGCTCTGGCCGTCGCTGGACCGGGTCCTGTTCCCAATAAGGAGGAACAATGATGCTCCGCCTGCCAGAAGTCCTACAGAGACCTCTGATTGATTCTGTGGACATCTGGGACCTGGCTGCGTTTTAAAAAATCAAACGCTTTGGAAATAAAGCACATTTCTCAATAATCAAGTGAAATGAGAAATGAGATGGGAGGGAGGGGCTTCGCACGGAGCACTGATTTAGTGACGTCACACATCAAAGCCACGAAATGAGAACATTTCAGGCGTGGTTGCACAGATCCGGAATCGCAACCCAATAAAACGTATTTTATTGCTTAATAAATACAAAACCTGGGAGGGAAAACTGGGGTCGATATGTAAAATATGTTTTTAAAAAATGTCATATAAAGACAAGAAAATAATTAAAAGCAAAATCAAAGTGACTTCTCACACACTGAACACACTGTCACTAGAAAAGTTCCCCTTTGGAAATTCTCTTCCTGGAAGTCAATGAATTTTTCCACATTTTTGTGAATTTGAAATGAAGACATCAAGAGACTAGAGGAAGAGGAAATATAGCCCAATATAGTTTAACAAACCGGAAAGTGATTATTAAAGCATCCTGAGAAAGGAAGCCTAATTAAGAAAACCAAAGAAAAAAGACCTTTCACGTCAGTCTAGATGTGATCCCTTTAAAAACTTAATGAACCAACAACCAGGGAGCCTACATGGGACTGGTCTAGGACCTCTGCATATACATTTGTGTTAGCTGGTATTTGTAGTGAGATATTTACTTCGTCCACATCTGTGGCACTGACCACGCCCATGGGGGGGGGGGGGAGACAGGGGCGGAAGTGACGTGAGGAATTAGGTCTGGGGAGGAGCACCTGAGTGCTCTTACTGGCAGGACATGGACAGGAGAGCATCCGGAGGCATCCTTGGGACCAGGAAGTTGCTGGTGTTCATCAGTCTATGTTGTAAGTTATTTCTCCCTGAATAAACATCTATTCGGCCTTTTTGTTTCTCCTGATCCTTACTATCCACGATATCTGAAGTGGGATCAGGATTTTCACGGACCTGGGTTTGACCCAGGCGGCAGACGCCTCTCCCTTCCCCACCATCCCTGAACAGGCAGGTCCCTTGCCTAACCACGCAGACACAGTGCAGCTTGTGAGTCATCCCTCAACTCCTTTACCTCCACAGCGGCCCTAAGATCACTGCTCATCTCCTGCCCATTTCCTCACTTTGCATTCGCACAAAGCCTGGGACACCCGCCCCGATTGTGTGTTCCCCGCACATGGCCAGGCCTCTGGGCCTGCCCTGATTGTGTTCCCAAGGACGCAACAGTTGGAGGAGAAATCTGTTAGCACTGTGGTCCCAGCAATTTGCACAAGGCTTGTTTCACGCCTTCATTTAACAAAATTTCGCTTGCCTTAGTTCGTTAAGAGCTATTCTACAGGGACTGGTATATCGTCTGCTGCCTGACGCTATTTGGTGGTACTCCTCTAAGCATAACTAACACAAGTTTAGATCTACAACTAAAAGCATCGAAGTTCCAGGACAGCAGAATTAAACCTAAGGTAATTGCAGCATCATTCATAATTTAAACTGATATAATATCTGAGATCAATCGTTCCATACCTATGGCAGATAATCTTACAATGCAGGACTTGAGGAATTTTTTTCCTTCATATATAGAAGGAATTTTAGCAGAAGAAAATCACGACTTAGCCAATATATACATTTTTTTGTAATAGCAGTGGGTTTCATCATTAATATGATATTCTTAAAGAAATGCTTGGAGATTAGAGCAAATGATAAGGAACTTGTACAAACCATAGGAGACTTAGTAACAAGGATTCAAAACATCAAAAATGACAATGAAGAGCTTACAATTAGAACACGAAACACAATATGCTTGGAAAAAAAGGTTCAAAATATTAAAGATGGCAGTAGAGAGCTGACAGGTAAAATATAAACCAGGAAACATAAAAATGACCAACTGGAAAACAAAATTTGTTCCATGTCCGATGCCTCAATAACCAAAACAAACAATGCAATGCATTAACATGCTAGCAGAAACAGCTCGTTACTGATTGGAAGAAGCTACTAATAAGGTTAAAAAACTGGAACATCAGATGGAAAGACTAGCAGACACAATCTGTTCCAGGTCTGAGGATAATGGCAAGCTATTGGATAGAATATTGTTTCTGGAAGGCAATTTATATGCCATTCAGATAATATCTAAGGATGAAAATATTAAAAACATAAAATCATTTGTAGTTGTAGAAAACAAGAAACTAACTGATTCAATAAAGGCTCTAGAAAGTTATATGATTCAAGAAGTTCAGACACTCAAAGAAGCAATGGTGAATAGATTTCAGGCCTTAGAACACCTTCAATCTGATGATTCATCAGAAGAACAACAGGTAACAGGGCATAAAAGAGACTTAAATTTTTCTACACCATTTAGGGCCAGAGGAGCTTTATTTGTTTCTCCTGATCCTTATTAACCACGATAGGTATTCTTGTGAGACTTCACAAGATCAGGGGCTATCTCTGGCTCTGTTGCCTACCTTTGGTACCCATTCCTCCTACTAGATCGCCTCCTCCAGCCCTAATAGAAGAGGAGGTACATAGTCTCCCAGAAAATTCATATACCGTGGCTGGCTGATATCTGTCAGAAGACCTCCATTTTCTGAAGAGAAAGAGAGGAGGAGAAGCAGATGGGCAGGATTGGGGGTTGGACTGTGGAACTGGGAAACAGGAGGGAGGAGAAACTCAGTTGGGATATAACAAAAAAAAAAAATGAAGACAAAAAGAAAGAAAACAAAAATAAGGCTCAGGAACAATTTTTAAGAGCATTCCAACCACACTGATAGCTATGTTTTGTTTCTTTTTCTTTTATTCCTTCCTTTTTCTGTTTGTTTTAATATTTGCTTGTTTTGTTTGTGTGTCTTAATATTTGTTTCAAAGACAGTGAGTAGTTTAAAACTCGAAAATTGGTGGGTCTGCCTGGTGTGTGGCACTGTGCGTGCTGATACCACAGCTACTTCAGGGGCTGATGCAGAAAGATATAAAATGCAAAATCCACTCTGGATGAAGAGTGAACTCCAGGCTATTCTAGAAATTAGTGAGATCTACATCCCAAATAAAGTGTAAAAGAAGTTTTGGGGTTGAGGCTCAGCGGTATAGCACCTGCTTCCTGTTTTTCGCGTCTTGTTGTGTAACTATGACCGACCTGGAACTACCTATACCGACTGTCCTCAGACTCATTGGGCTTCAGAATGTTGGGATGAGACATATCCATCACTATATGCAGTTTAGGATTTTCTACTTCTGTGGAAAATGGCATTGGAATTTTCATGGGGACTGTTGAGAATCTGTGTATGTATTTGGTTCACATGGCATTTTTACACTGCTGACTCATGAAGAGAAACAAACCATTCCATGTGCTGCTGTCTCCAGATTCATGAGTTGTGAACAGGGGTGATGTGTGTGTGTGTGTGAGTGTGTGAGTGTGTGTGTGTGTGTGTGTGAGTGAGTGTGTGTGTGTGTGTGTGTGTGTGTGTGTGTGTGTGTGTGTGTGTGCTTGACATATATGCATGTAGAGTCTCAGGTCAGTGCTGGGTGACTTCATCAATGGATATCTATCTTCTTGGAGGGAAGCGGCAGTGAAATGAGACCCAGTATTTCTCAGTGAACCCAGAACCCATGAATTTGGGTAGGTTGGGTGGCCTTTGAGCTCCAGGGATCTTCCTGTCTCTACCTCCTCAGCACTGGGAGTTTTGAGAATCTCACATAAAGAGTTTTCATGCTGGCCTTAGAGCATGGTTAAGGTTACATGTTCTATTCTCTGGCCTGACTGTCCAGGTACATATTTAGGTAGCCTACACTCAGTTTCTCCCTCCATCTGAGCAGAACCTTTTCTGTTTTTCTTAGTTTTTGTTTTGTTATTGCTGTTTTCAGACAAGGTCTCTCAGTAGACCCTTGACTGTCCTGGAATTCACTATGTAGACATGGTAGGTCTTAAACTAACAAATATTCAAATCCCCATACCTGAAAACTGCTGGATTTAATGGGATGTTTCACCACAACTAGCAGCTGAGCTGGCCTCAGGAGAGTACACTTGTCCGCACCATCAGGGTACCACCTCACTCTATCCTCATAGGGAACATTGCCTGGACCTGTCATACTTTCATCTGACTATGTTAAGCCCATGCTGGGAGGACATACTTCCTGCTTGTGACCCATGATGTCTAGAGTGAAGTCTAGAGAATGATTCCCTGACAGTAAAAACACTGGAGGACAATGGAAGGGGTGCAAGGAGCTGGGAAGGTGCACGGCGTCACCTGGCCCAGATGCTCCAAGGTATCATTCCACTCTGTGCACAACACTACTTCACACAAAGTGAACTGGTGTCCAGAATTGGATTGAACTCACTTTTCAGCTTAAGTAGAAAAACGGGAGGGAGAGGGAAGTGGGATTGCTATGTAAAATAAGATTGTTTTACACTAAATAAAAATCAATTTAAACAGGACAAGCAACCAAAACAAAAACAAAAACAAATGGAGTGCATATTTGTAATCCAGCACTAGGGGTTATGAGGAAGAGAAGTATACATTTTATTACATGAAGGTGTACCCAGTGAGACCCTTCAACCTTTTTAGATATGTGGAAGTACTTCAGGTAAAATAAAGTGAAAAGGAATAAATCCAAACCCACAGGTAAATGTATATTTCTCAAGATTAGTGTTCATTCATGTCTGCTACCACCTGGTCCTGACAAAAATGAGAACACTGTTGGAATTTTGGAAACAGCATCCATTAAATATGGGTGGAGTGTACTGCCTGACCTAACCACAGCCTAGGGGAGGTCAGACCCTGGTGGGTGAGGAAGTTCCCCTTCCTGTGGGGCTGTACCAATACAACCATGACATGAGTTGTGCCAGCTTCCTCCGGAGGCCACACACTCTGTCTCTGGTTCCTCCAGGCAGTCACAAGCACACTTGCAGCCTCCAGGAGGAGATGCCATGACCTTCACCTTCACAGCCCTGCTCTGTCTGGGTAAGAAGTGGGATGGGGTGGTGATACTGCGTTCTGGGAATGACACTGCCCCCATAGCCTACCACTGACCCAACAGGAAAGCCCAGGGTCTCAGGAGGTTCTGCAGAGTTCAGGACCTTCACAAGCTTCAGGGACAAACCTCTCACAGGGATCTCTCTTCCAGGACTGGCTCTGGGCCTTGGGACACCAGTGCTGGCAGGTGAGTGAGGGTCTGCAGATGTCCTGACATCACTTGTCATCATTCCTGGAGCCGTTCTGGGCAGTGAGGATGGAAACCACACATGTGTGCTGCTGCCTCTGGGGATGGCAGGAGGGTTGGGGTCGGGGGCTGCAATCTGAGGATGGATGACCTGATTCCTAGCTGATCTTTCCTTGCAGGAACTCTCCCTAAACCTATCCTCAGCATACAGCCAGACTCTGTGGTCACTGAGCAGACTACAGTGACCTTCTTGTGTGAAGGAACCACAGGAGCCAAAGAGTACCTTCTGTATAAAGATGGATACAAATATTTAACACACAAAGGCATTCCACAGAATACTACAGACAAGGCTAAATTCTCAATCCCAAAAATAGGCCAGGAAGAAGCAGGGAGATACCAATGTTGCTATCAGACCAGTGATGGATGGTCAGAGTACAGTGACTCTCTGGCGCTGGTGGTGACAGGTGAGAGGACTCAGAGTCCACACGTCTGGGTTGACTATAGGAAAGTGTGTCTGTACACATGGATGACTCCACCTACAGCCACACAGGATAGTGATGCCTGATTTAATTGCTTCCTCCTCCTCTCCTAGGGGCCTACAGTAAGCCCACCCTCTCAGCCTTGCCCAGCCCTGTAGTGATTGAGGGAGGAAATGTCACCCTCCAGTGTGTCTCAAGTCAACGATATTGCAAGTTCATTCTGACTAAGGAAGGAACACGGGAGCGCTCCTGGACACAGAACTCACAGTATAACCACTCTACTCGGCAGTACCAGGCTCGTCTCCCTGTGGGTCCTGTGACCTCCAGCCAAAGGTGGACATTCAGATGCTACAGCTTTAATAACAACAGCCCACTGGTGTGGTCAGAACTTAGTGACCCCCTGGAGCTCCTGTTCTATGGTGAGGAGCCAAAAAAAAAAATCACAAAATGATGTTGAAATAACACAGATGCTGACGGCGCCTTGATCTGAGCCCATTGACAGACCATAGGAGACAGAGGGACACAAGATACAGGATGCAAGGCAGACAGTGACAGCAAAGTCCAGGAGGTCAACGACAGATAGGAGTCTTCATTGAGCCCTCCATTACTCTAGATCAGCTTAAATAATATCCACCACAGCTTGGAGCACTGCACAGAAGAGATAGGGGAAGGGCTGGAGAAGCCAGAGAACTCAGGACTCAAAGAGAACTTGGCCCACAGGATCAATCTGGCAGGGATCAAGAGGGCTCACAGAGACTGAAGCAGCAACCAAGGCACATGCATGGGTCTTCCCTGAGCCCTCTGCACACACACACACTGTGCTGCTTTACCCTGGGCTTTTTTTATTTTTATTTTTAGAGATTTACTATGTAGCCCTCTCTGTCCTGGACATCGCTTAGTAGACCAGGCTGGCCTTGAACAAACAGATATCTGCCTGCATTTGCCTCCTGAGTACTAGGATTAAAAGGCATGCACCACCGATGCCTTAGATTGAGATTTTTGTTAGATTCATCACAGTAGGAATCTGGGAGTCTCTGACTCTTTTGCCTGCATAGGGGATTTTTTTTCCTCCTACTGGGGTTCCCTGCTCCAGCCTTAACAGGAGGTTGTTTGCTTAGACTTATTGCATCTGGTTTTCTCATGTTCCATTAATATCACTGGGAACCCTACTATTTTCTGAAAGGAAACAGGAGTAGTGTGCATCTGGGGGAGAGGGGAGGTTTGGAGACTGCGGTCAGGGTGCCTTGTTTGACAGAAAAATAGTTTAAACAGAAAAAGTGCTGTCTGCAAGTGTAACTGATTCTTTGCCACTTTGACACAGACCCACCTCCTTCTCTATTTCCCAGCAGGGTCCCTCCACAAACCCACCCTCAGGGCTGAGCCAGGCCCTGTCATCGCCTCAGGAAGATCCATGAACATCTCCTGTCAGGGGACCCTGGATGCAGAAATGTGTTTTCTGCATAAAGAGGGTACACAGACCACAAACGAGCTTGGGAACAAGTGCACACGCTCCATTCCTTCTGTGGCACAGCAACATGCAGGACAGTATCGCTGTTACTGTTACAGCTCAGCTGGCTGGTCAGAGCGCAGTGACACCCTGGAACTGGTGGTGACAGGTGAGGGGACAGTCGAAGTCTCAGCCCCAGGCCCTGCTCTCAGATGTATTCCCTTCTCCCAGCCTAGGCCTGCACAGCACTGTGACTGTGCAATCCCATGTAACTGGCTGCTCCTTCTGTCCTAGGAATGTACAATGATAACCCCTTCCTGACAGCACTGCCCAGCCCTGTGGTGACCTCAGGAGGGAACATGACTCTGCGGTGTGTCTCACTGTATGGATATGACAAGTTCGTTCTCACCAAGGAAGATGAGAAATTCTCCAGCTCCCTGGACTCACAGTATATAGGCAATGGCCACCAAGCCACATTCTCTGTGGGCTCTGTGACCCCTGTCCACAGCGGAACATTCCGATGTTATGGTTACTTAAAGAACACCCCACAGTTGTGGTCAGTACCCAGTGACCCCCTGAAAATACACATCTCAGGTGAGTCAGCCACATCATTGGCCAAGTGTTTTTGACACCTCTAGGGAGTTTTAAGTAGAGAATGACTAAATGGAGAGCCTGTACTCCGAGCCAGTGCCTGACACCTGGGGAGAGGATGTCACATATTCAGGGAATGATGGGAGAGGATAGGTGTTTGGGAAGAAAACCAGCTTCTTAATCACTAGCCTGTTGCTTTCCCTCCAGGCCTGTCGAAGAAGCCCTCCCTGCAGACTCAGCAAGGCCACATCCTGGACCCTGGAAAGAGCCTCACCCTGCAGTGTTGCTCTGACATCAACTATGACAGATTTGCTCTGTACAAGGTGGGGGGAACAGACTTCACCCAGCATCATGGCCAGAGGACCCAGGCTGGCCTCTCAGTGGCAAACTTCACACTGGGCTCTGTGAGCAGAACTACCGGTGGCCAGTACAGATGCTATGGTGCACACAACCTCTCCTCTGAGTGGTCAGCCTCCAGTGATCCCCTGGATATATTGATCTCAGGTGCGAAACTAAATAGAATCAATCTGGTACCGTAATCTCTCGTTTGGGATGTAAGTGCTGACGGCTGGGATGAGGTAGGTACTGGGAACTTATTACAGAACAGATGCAGAGACGGGGAGCAGGAGAGAGGGTAAGGCAGAGACAAGAAGAGTCCCAGGTGCTCAGAGTCAAAACCCTGTGAAGTCTCATCTCAGACCATTGAATGCAGCCTCTCATTGTCTCTGTCTATTTAGGAGAGATTCCTGCAACTCCTTCCCTCTCAGTGAGGCCAAACTCCACAGTACAGTCTGGAGAGGACGTGACCCTGCTGTGTCAGTCAACAAACAAAGTGGACACTTTCATTCTGTCCAAGGAGGGAGCAGCACACCAACCCCAGCGAATGAAATCAAAGTCCCAAGATTGGGGGTTCCAGGCTGAATTCTCCATGAGTGCTGTGACCTCTGCCCTCTCAGGCACCTACAGGTGCTATGGTTCTCGAGATTCATCTCCCTACCTGCTGTCACATGCCAGTGCCCCTGTGGAACTCTCTGTCTCAGGAGAGGTGACCCTGAACTCTACAGGTAATTTGAACTCCAAACTCTAGAAGAGCCCTTGGATGGATGGTGTGTGTCTAAAAGGACAACAGGAAGGGTTAGTCACAAGGCAACTTCCCTAGTAGAGAACTGGATGCCAACAGGGTCCCTCAAGTAATGCCCACTCCATCCTCCATTGCAGTCTAGGTTTGGGGTAGAGAGCACGAGAGTCTTGGGGAGGTTACTGGGCAGATGTAACAGACAGCAGAGTCCAGCAGAGTTAGGTCCCTGGTTAGCGTCTACTCATCACCCTGCTTGTTCTGTGTGCTGGGACATATTAGAGCCTCCTGCCCACCACACTCAAGGCCCTTGACACAGCTGCTAAGTATCAGTCACCTCAGTGGAGGGAATGGTGTCCATGCCCAGGCTGCCTCACTTGAGCCCACCAGTGCCCTCAGTTCTCTCTCACTTAGCTTGTGAGAGTGGGAGGCAAACAGAGATCCCAAAAGAGAACCCAGAAGCCCAGGACATACATACAGAAGATGGTGTCCAGAGAGGCATCCTTTAGATCAGTGTGGAGGATGGGCAGGTGGGTGTGGTGGAGAGCAGGGATCCCAGACTCTCACCTCCCCATCAGCCTCTAAGGTCCTGAGAACATGCCTCTCACCTGCATTGAGTCAGGCTATGTAACCCAGAACCCAGAAGGCTATGTAACCATCCTGTTGGATGTGGTACCCACATGGACCATAGCCAGTTATGGGCTTGATACAGCTGCTTCTGGATATGCTGACTTGGACACATCCTTCCCATTCTGGGCTGGCAGCTGTTTCTCTGAGTATGAAGGGGAGAGGCCTAGCCCACATGTGTCAATTTCTTCAGTGCAGGCCTTGGATGGATCCTACTAACAGAGGAGGCCTTCAGAACCTGAGTCCTCGGCAGGTCTGTCCCACCATGGTAGTGATGTGTACAAGGGTGTGGCACAGGACCATGGCAGGGCATTCCTGCTGCCTCATTCCAGCTCATGAGGCTCAGCCCAGGTGGAGAGAAAGGAGGTGGAAGTCAGAGTCCCTGGGTTCAACTCCCAGCTCTGCCACTTCCACTCAGGTCATCTGTGGGGATAGAAAAAGAGACAACTCCATGTTGCATGGTTGTGAGGATGGAGATGATGAGTGCAAAGACCAGCGTGGGTCCATCACCCAGTAGGTGCTTAGGAAAGCGTCAAGAGTCCCTACTCATGGTGTCCCCTGTACCTCAGGCCTGGAAAGGTACCTGAAGGCTCTGATCGGAGTCTCTGTGGCCTTCCTCCTGTTCCTCTTCATCCTCATCTTCCTCCTCCTCCGACGAAAGCAGCAGGGAAAGTTCAGGAAGGATGGTGAGTCTGGTGTGGGTGACCGAGGTCTCAGGTGGTGATGGGTTCTAGAAGCACTTGCAGATCTCAGATGAGAAAGTCATGGTCTCAGAACCTGTGCGATGTCAGTGCCTCTATGAGCTTGGCCATGTCCTGGGATGTCTGCTCACTCATCCCTGTTGTAAAGGTCCCTCCCTCCCCTCCTTCCCCGCACATGCCTGGGGGGCCCCCAGCTGAGACTCCTTTCTTTTGCAGCCCAGAAAGAGACAGAACTGCAACTTCCTGCAGGAGCTATAGAGCCAGTAATCAGACACAGAGGCCGCCAGAAGAGGTAACTCAAGACCAGGGGCCTAGACCCCACCTTCCTGACACAACTCACTGCCCCCTGATGTCTCCTTGTCTTTCCAGATCCAACCCAGCTGCTGCCACCCAGGAAGAAAGTCTTTGTGAGATAAAGGGGTCCTGGGGGCGGAGCCTGAGGTCTCTGCACTGCAGGGGTGAAGGGGTCCTGGGGGTGGAGCCTGAGGTCTCTGCATTGCAGGGGTGGTGAAGGGGTCCTGGGGGTGGAGCCTGAGGTCTCTGCACTGCAGGGGTGGTGAAGGGGTCCTGGGGGTGGAGCCTGAGGTCTCTGCACTGCAGGGGTAAAGGGGTCCTGGGGGTGGAGCCTGAGGTCTCTGCACTGCAGGGGTGAAGGGGTCCTGGGGGTGGAGCCTGAGGTCTCTGCATTGCAGGGGTGGTGAAGGGGTTCTGAGGTCTTTGCTGTTTGGGTCTGAACTTCACACTATGAACACATGGATATCACCACACTCCCTGCTTCTCTGTCCCCACTTGGACGAGGCAGGAAACTAACGGTCTGAGACATTGCTAGACTCTGGTCAGGGGACACTCTGTTTTTCTGCTGACAGACGCTTCAGTGGAGGACATGAAACCGCAGGATGGTGTTGAGGTGCACAGTTCGGTGAGGTCCCTGTCCGTGTTTGCTGTTCTAAGAACTAGGGTGGGGTTACTCCAGGCGGCCTTCTTTGTTCTCCCTTGCCTGGCCCTCAACATCCACAGCTGACCACTCCCTTCTGCATCGACCTGCCTCCTGTATGCCGTCCTCACTCTGTCCTGGGTTTCCTGGGATCTGGGGTCTCATCGCTGCTGTCCACTTTCTGACTCCTTGGCATCTGTCTGGTTGTCATCTGAGGGGGCAGCCCAGATGCAGAAGCCCGCAGAAACATCTAGGGGACCAGCAAATGCAGGCAGCAACTGAAGGATCTTGGGCTGAAACATGTGTGGTTTCGTTCTGTATTTTATTTTGTATGTGGGGGCTTGAGGGTTGCCTGCAAGTGGTCTCTGCACCACACGCCTGCATGATGCTCCCAGAGGCCTGAAGAGAATGTCAGACACCCTGGAACTAGAGTTACAGATGAAAGAAGGTGGCTGTGTGGGTTCTGGGAACCAAACCTGGGTCCTCTGCAATTGCAGTAAGTGCTCTTAACCACAGAGTCATCTCTTTAGACCCTGGAAATGTGTTTTCAGGAAGATGTACTCTGTGTGTTAATCCACGACAGCAAGGTTACAGTGTCAGGATAGGTGGCCAGAACTGTAGAAAGGAAGCCCCAGACTCTGGCCATGCTGTGAAAAACTGTCGAGAGGAAAGTCACAGGGGAACAGGGTGACACTATCTGTTTCTCACTAATTGCCTGCAACAGAGACCACCTGGAGATGACCCCCAGGGAGAGACATATGTCCAAGTGAAAGATTCCAGGCTCAGGAGGGCAGAAGCTGTACTGCCTTGAGTTGTGTCAAGAAAAGACCCAGAACCTAAAGACAAACAAGCAGAAGAGGGCAGAGGTTGGTCCTGTACTCTCTGGGCCTACAGCATCCCACAAAATAAGGATTAGCTTCTTCTCATTCTCTCCCACTCCAGGCTGCTGAATTCGAAGGGTCCAAGGATGTGGTCTATGCCAAGCTGTCACTCAGACAGGGAACCCCTGTGCCTCCTCCCTCCCAGGCTGGAGAAGCCCCAAAGGAGACCACTGTATATGCTGCTCTGGTCATTGCTCGACCAGGTCCTGTTCCCAATAACAAGAAAAATGACCCTCTGCCTGGAGGCCAATGGAGACCTCCAAAGGGATTCTGTGAACTTTAAGGAACTGGGTTGCATTTTAACTAACATCATATACTTGGAAATAAAACACATTTCTCAATAATCAAGTGAAATGAGAAATTATAAAGAAGGGAATGGCATTACAATGAGTACTAAATTTAAAGACATCGCTCATCAAAGCCATGAAATGAGAAAAATTTCAGGGATGGTTGCAAACACCCAGAATTCCATCCCATGTGAGTCTGAGGCAGGAGAATTGCCTTTGTTTTGAGGCCATCTTAGGATACCTAGTGAACTTCATGCCAGTCTGGGCTACAGAGTAAGATTCATTTCACACATTAACCACCAAAGGCCAGGGTGAAGGTTCACACCTGAAATCCTTGCACTTTGAAGGCTAGGACAGGTGGATCAAGAAGATGAGGCCATCTTCACCTGCACGGCCTAGGAGTAAGAGGCCATGGAACAAACACAGGTGACAGGGTTTTAAATAAACAAACAGGCCAGGCATGGTGGTGCGTGCCTTCCATCACAGCACTTAGAGGTAGAGACAGGCAGATCTCCAAGACCAACTGGTCTAATAATGAATTCTATGTACAGTGGGGTTCCTTGTCCCAGGACGGTCTCACCACCCTTGAGAGCCCCAAATATACACACAAGACCGATATTTAGTATAAAACTCTTGGCTGATAACTAGAGCTTTTTATTGGATAGCTCTGCCTTTATTATTAACCCATTACTATCAATCTACCTATTGCCACGAGGCTGTGGCTTACCTGATAATGCCCCTGCAGGTTGTTACTCCTTCAGCAGCATCATGACTCTCTGTGGCAGGCTCACTCTGCCCATCTTTCTCAAAATTCTCCTTGTATCCTAGACCCACCTATTATCCTGCCTCATTGGCCAAACAGTGTTTTATTCATTACCAGTAAGATAAACATATATTCCCCCGTCCTCTCCTCTTTTCTCTTTAAATAAAAAGAAGATAGTAAAGTTGTATATTAAAACACAGTTATCAAATAACTAGTACATTAATATTTAGAGAAAATATTCTATCATCTATCCTATGTTTGTGAGTCTAAAGGGGTATATATAACTTACCTTTTATCAAAACTAAGGAAACAAAAATTAAACAATCTGTCTTCAATTCCATCAAAGACCTCAGAAAGATAATATATAAACTCTGGAATTGACAGAGACGTCTTGCTGTCTGCACAGTCATCAAAGTTCCTCTGGGCATCTATTTTCAGCCCATAGGCCAAAGTGTGGCTGGCTGACTTCTCAGCGAAACAGGAAACTAAACTGTCCACCTGTATTGTCGGTTTGTCCGTCACTTTTTGCTGTGTCCTGCAGACTGTCTGACAGACACTTCCATGAAGCAGGAAGCCTACAGCACTGACCCACCTTGTTTCAGCAGTCACTTTCCTTTAGGTCCTGTATGTTCAGCTTATATATCATACAATCAAACAGTCCAGGCAAGAGCAGATTCTCGCCCAAACAGCTATTCTCACCATATTGAGAGCAAATCCATATTGAGTCTTCAATGCCCATTTTCCTTTCTGATTTGATTGGTGTTTCCAGGAGCAGTTGTGTCTCAATGTCATGAGTTACCATAAACCATTTTAAATGTCATATTCTGTAGGTCTTTGATAGGTTTGAAGACTATCCATCTCAAATACATCTGCATATATTTAGAAAATCAAACTATCCTAATTATAAGTTTTCACAATTATAGATGACAATCTATATTCTGTACTTAATTATATACTACATATTAAATGAGCTGTATAAACACAATAAGTAAGCAAGAGGAGAAATATAAATATAACAAAACTGACCTTAAATTTACTAGATGAAGTATCTATGATGGTAGATAACGTAGTCATCAATCTCATTATCAAGGAAAGGCATTTAAGGTAGCCTCTCCATTTTTGCTCAAATTGTCAGTTGAGGTCATCCTTATAGGTCTAAGGACATTTCTCTAGCATCAGTTTTCTCTTCCAACCTATAATGGCTCCATCTCTTATAGTATCTCTTTTCTTGCTCTCTTCTATTCGTCCCCTGACTCAATTTTCCTAGTCACCCATGTACTCCTCTCCCATCCCCTTCTCTTCCTCCTAACTCCCTCTCCATCAATGCTCCCCTCTGCTCACAATATGCTCAGGAGATCTTGTCCCTTTTTCCTTCTGTGGGGGGACTTTGTATGACACTCTTGGTGTCATCCTTGTTTCCAAGCTTCTTGGTGTCAATTGTAGGCTGGTGTTCCTCTGCTCATGTCTAAATTCCGTATGTGACTGAGTACATACCATGCTCCTCTTTTTTCTGACTGGGTTACCTCACTCAGGATGGTATCATCCATTTGCCTGTGGATTTCAAGATTCCATTGTGAGTGTGAGTGTGTGTGTGAGTGTGTGAGTGTGTGTGTGTGTGTGTGTGTTTGACTGAGTTGTACTCCATTGTGTAAATGTGCCATATCTTCTTTATCCATTCTTCAGTTGTGGGGCGTCTAGGTTTTTTCCAAGTTCTAGTTATTACAAACAATGCTGCTATGAACACAGTTGAACAGATTTCTTCATCAGCTATTAGTCTAGAGTTCATGAGTTTCTATGAGGTTAGTTCGACTCTTTCTTTAGATATCTCCATCTTGATGTTGACCTACCTTGCTCATATATTCCTTCCTCCTTCTCTTCAATTGGATTCCCAGAGCTCAACCTGCTGGTAGGTGGTGGATCTCTGCATCTGGTTCGATCAATTACAGGTTGAAGGCTCTATGATTATAGTTGTGGTTTTTGCCCATCTGACTATAGGGGGAGGCCAATTCAGGCATCCTCTCTACTATTTCTAGGAGACTTACCTGGGGACACCCTTGTGGATTCTTAGAAATCACCCTGGCACCAGGTTTCTCCCGATTCCCATTATGGCTCTGTCTATATTTGTTTTTTGCATCCATGCACTATTAAATTTCCACCCCTGAGTTCCATGGTGGAATCTTCAATAGTTCCTAAATTTTGGTTCCTCAGAGTGTCTGTTCTAATGCCCACAACTTACTTCTTGCAGTACAAAGAGAAGTCTTGGAAACTGCTTATAGCCATTACTGTCTATGATCAAAATCAACACTCAGAGAACAAAGAGTAGAGTGTGTGTGTGTGTGTGTGTGTGTGTGTGTGTGTGTGTGTGTGTGTGTGTGTTACCACAGTGCTTTTGTATGGATTTATGATTTATGATAGCCAGCCTCTGTAACCTGGCAGAATGCACTCAGGCAGTACCCTGGCCAGACCACATGCAAAGGGCCCCATTAAATGAAATGCCTCTGCCTACTCATGTTCTCTTTGCCCACTTCTCTCTTTCCCACAGTTCCCCTGGGGTTAGCAGGACTTTTCTTGACTCCCTCTTCTGTCCTCGCTGCCTCTTTATCTATTTTCTCTTTCTTCCAACCCTTTGCCTCTCTAATAAAAATTCTCACTTGAGCTCTGTCTGCCTGGCATGTAAGTTCCCCACATATGTCACCCGCACCTGCCGCGGGATGCACCAAGTTCCTTTCCCTGAGCTTTACCATATCAGCTTTAAAAGAAACGCGTCCTGTCAGTGTCTTGGTCTCACCACATGCCTCTCTTTTTGTAATCACTAAACTCTCTAATTGTCGGTATCACTGAACTCACGAATGGTCAGGATCTGTACGAGATGGAAAGGTTTGGGCTTCTCTTTAAACCTCACCAGTCTCCCTCTCCTGTGTTATTCTCCTCTGTGTCGCTGTGATGATTATTATTTATGTCACGTAAATTGTAGCTGGAACCAAACAAGATATTCAGTTGGGGGAGGTCTGGAAGTGTTATTCTGGAAGGACTAATCGGGAAGGAGAATCTTCCCTGGGAGTTCTCAGCGCCTCCACGCAGTGGCTCGGGTAGGAAGAGAAGGGTGGGAGAGCAGTGCTGGTTTTGCCAGTCCACGGTCAATCCCGGCCGTGAGCACATACATTCATTGTGTTTCTCTTTCTTCCTCCTCTTTGTCTCCCTCCTTCACCTTTCCCCACTGATACATATATCCGACCTCACGCCCTTTACTCTCAATTTTCTCCCCCGTTAGCACCTTCCTTCTTCACTATTTCCGAGTGAACTCATAATCAATAACTTTACAGAAATCATCCAGGCCTTCACTACCAATTGTAACCGCTGAAACATTCACCCTCACGAACTGAACAGCTCTGGATTCTGTTGCTTAGACGACGTACACCTGATTTTTAACCCAGATTTTCCATTCCTAGAATTCACTCAGTTTGTGTTTTCTTTATTACCTCTATTTGCGTATTCATCTCAAACTGTTTGAATTATTTCCTTCACCTATTTGTGCAACATGAACTATAAAAGATCCAGAGACTGATATTAGGATTCAAACTTCAAGCTGAGTAGCAGAAAGCAAAGCAGCCAATAGCTTCTTACCTCTACCTCAAGCTGAAGGGGCTCATCCTGTTTTCATGCGCTGTCACCAAGTCTCAAACTGTAACCTCTCCTCAGCATGGCTGCATGCCTCTTACTTACTCTGTTCCTGTGTTAAATATACCTCCTGAATGGTCTCAGCATTCCTGGTGAGTGGATACGGGATGGGAATGGGGGTAGAGGGGAGGGGCACGGAAGGATGGGAGGAAGAGGAAACTGGGATCAATATATAAAATTAAAAAATATTAAATAAAAAGAAAATAATGTCTCCTGATTCCTGGGATTAAAGTTGTAAGCTATGTTAGTTACTCTTTAGACTGGTGGCCTTGAACTCAGAAATACTGCTGACTTTGTTTCCTGAGTCCAGGAATTAACCTTGTATGACACCACTGCCTGACCTCTATAGCTTGTGGCTGACTTTGCTTTCTGAATCCTCGGGGAAGCTTTAATAAGTCATAAATAACACATCACAACAGGCTTTTTCCTTGGCTTCCCTAGGTTTCTTTAAGAGATTTGCTGATTTGTTTTTTTTTTTTTTTTTTTTTTTTTTTTTTTTGTATTTTCCTCCATTTCCTCCAGTTTGCTTGTCTGTCTTTTTTTTCCATTTCCTTAAGAGAGTTTCTCATTTTCCTTTTAAAGGCCTCTATCATCTTCAAAAAAGTGCTTTAAAAGTCATTTTCTTCAGCTTCACCTGCATTTGGATGATCAGGTCTTGCTGGTATAGAACCCCTTAGTCTCTGGTGGCGTCACATGACTCATTATGGTGTCGAATGTGTTCTCACACTGTCATCTACCCATCTCTTCCTCCAGTGGGTACAGGTGGGGCCTGTGATTCAGCGAGTCTCTTTCCCTCCAATTAGTGTAGGCGGAGCCTGCGGCTTAGCTTCTTCTTGCTCTCCCAGTAAGAGTAGGGTCAAGACACCAATGGAGGCAGATGTGATGCTGGATGGATTGAGGTTGCCTCTAGGTCTCTGGGGTTTTGGTAGGCACGATGGGGCATGTGATGATCCTCAGTTAAGGGCCTCCATTCGGGGGTGGGGTGAACACTCACATCTCCTGGTCCTGGTGGGGTCAAGTCTTCCCAGAGAGAACTCTTGGCTGCACCAATAATTAGTGGTACCACTAACATGTATGTAGGTCCATCAATGATTCCTTCTACCTCTGGAAGCATGTACCATGGATCACCTTGAAAGCTAGATCTCAAAGAACACATTTATTTTCCAGTTACTTTTCAGCTTGCTTCATCTATATCTTAAAACCAGGGTGTGTGACATAGTCAGCAATAGGGTCTTTATTTCTAGTTATGATGAGAAATATGTACGAAGAACAATAACTTATATTGTCTGGGAGTCTCTGTAGCTTTAATAACTAATAATCCCTATGGAGTAAGTTACACAGGGAATTGACCTTCTCGTTTAGTATCTTACTTGAATGCCAATATTATTCCTAGACATATAGGGTATCTCCTTTCAATATCATTTTGTTCGTGTTTTAAGTAAGTTAGAAAATATTAGGTTCCCATTTGGACTCTTCAAACATACCCTCTCTTTTAAAAATCCATCTCCACCATATGTTGCCTTCCTAATCCAACCACTTCCTTGACACTTAACTTTTTGCATTCAGTAATTTTCCTTTATATTTAATTTTAACTATGACCCAGTATCCCCCTTCCTTGAAGGCTACATCTTTGGGACCACTTTTTACTTATTTGGCTTCCACATGTATGCTAGCTAAACACACAAAATAAAAGAATCAGAAGTAGAGTCCACAAATGAGAGAAAAGACAATGACTCTGTCTTGTTAGAATTTATTTGATTCATAAATTGTATGTGTGGGGTGATGTGTATATGAACATTGTTGTCCTGGGAGGCCAGAGGAATTGGATACCCCACACAGGAAAATATGTGTCCCCTGAAATAGGTTCTGGGAACTGAGCTCAGAACTTCTGGAAGTTCACTTCACCATGGGGCAGTTCTCAACCCCAAGACCCCTATTGTTCTTGCCTGGCTTACTTCACTCAGTATAGTGGGTTTCTGATTAACATAAACAACCTGAGCAAGGAACTCACACAAACAGCTCCAAACAAGGATGTAACGGGTTAGATCAGAGATAACACAGCTATGCTTAGTGTGTATTCATAGAATTAAGTTGCTACTTTGGTTAAGTACATCATAACCGATCCAGAAGCATCAATATGTCTTAGTGTTGCAATAAAGAAAGAATCACTTATATTTTCATTGTTTTGACCAAGATGGAGCCTCAGTTTGAATTCTCCATTTCCCTTCCTGGAGCTGGTGAGGACGCCTAAGACACAATCAGAGATCCTGTCTCAAAGTAAGAAACCTGGAACCTTAGGACAAAAAGACTCCACTAAAGTCTAGGAATGAGCCCATATTCTCCATCCCATCAGTGACACAAGAACACACAGGATAATAACATGCTTTTTCAGTCATGATCACTGGTATGAACATAGTGACATCCTGGAGCTGGTGAGGACACCTAAGAGACAATCAGGGATCCTAAGTCAAAACACTTCCCTCAGAAATGTGTCTGCTGTTCATGACATTCCCTTCTTACAGAGAGCTGATCTTACATCACATACTCCCAACATTTGTCTTCGGATTCCATGAGAAACATAGCCTATCAATACAGTCATTCCCTGTGCTGAGATAGGTATAATATATATACAGATGGCACCAGAGAAACGAAGAATATTAACTTGCAGGGTTTTCTATTGAAAGATATTTTTTTGTAAAGGATATCTATTTCAAGGTTATCTTTGCAAAGTATCTTCCCCCAAAAGTTGGCAATGGAGATAGTTACCCACCTGGTATTGTTTGCAAGGCCAGGTGATAACTTCTCCCAAAGCAGGAAGTAAGTGGCTAATTGCCTATGTGACCTTTGCTTTACCTGTGTAGGCAGGGACTTCTTGAAGCTACCACAAAGAAGAACTGTGGTGACTAATAGCTCAAATGACCTCTGGGCTGTTTGAATGACTGAGACCATACCAAGGCCTTCCTTGGCCTGAAGGTAGCATGTGTCACATATCTCTAGAAAGTATCTTCTTAGAAGAAGTGAGTTGCATTTTGAGTTGAGGTCTGATGTAATGATGCCTCCTTGTGCACAGAGGATTGCATTACACCAGGAACTTGTTTTCCAAATTATGGCATGCTTAAATATGTTTAGAGTAAAATGGTCATCATCAAACTAGAAATTTGAGCCCACATTGGATAGTTAAGCTGTGCTGAACTGGATTTGCTTCTTTCCTCACTCATATTGTACCTCTTCTAGCCATAGCATTTACAGGGACTCACACACAATATCAAAATGTTTTGAGTAAACTGCAGGGCAAATGTGTGGGTGCCCATAAAGATGGCTGCACTCTATCTTGGCACAAGGACAGAGAGTTCAAATCTGTCCTCAGCACGTCATAAAACCTAAAGGTCAAACGTGTGGCTACAATAGAATGTTTGGCTGTCTTATTCTAAATAACTACAGACCTGAATCTGAGGTGTGGCTACTCCTGTCATCAAGGATAGGGAAAAAAAGTTGGAGCTAAGGTGTGGTTGCTGAACCCTTAGAATAAGTGAGGGAGAAAAGTATGTTTGTTCCATATACATGATACTATGTTCCCGTTCCTGGATAAGGTATATAAGAGTGGTGAAAAATAAACTCGTGGCCTTTCAGTATTGATTGATCTGCCCTCGTGACCTTTATTCTGTCTCTCTGTCTTTTATTTACCATCTACAGGTAGCCTTTCCCTCATCCACACTTCCCCACTCAGGTACAGACTTGGGGCTGTTTGGATGGCTCCAATTGCAGCCCCACAAAGACCGCTCCCAACACAAATGAAGAAGAATGAATACATGCCAGAGGTCATTGTTCTCTATTTTTCCTTATTTCCAAGATTCTTAACAGAGCTCACTCTCAGTGTAGCCACATCCCACAGTATTTCCTGGGGACAAAGTGCCCCCAACATGTTCATCAGAGAGCCTTGTGGACAGTGTCACATTACATAGAAGAGTAATTAGTTCAGCATCCCCACCATGTGTAAGATGCCGAATTGTAGTTCAGCAACATCAACAAGCATTCTCCATGACTTCTATGACTTTAGTCTTCTGACTGACATGCAGAGGCCACGTTTGTGTAGCTTTGCTCTCTTTGTGCAAGATAACAGGTAAGAATAGATTCCTCTTCCTTGCTAGACATCTCCCACACCGTAACAAGGAAGGCTGTATGAATATTGTCTCTAAGGCATTCTACATTGTTGGCATTTTGAAATTCTGGATTGGCCAGCTCTAATAATAAGATAGTTCCTGCACCAAGATAGTTCCTAGTCCTCTATGTCCTGTCCTACATCTGTCATACCTATGATTTATGCGAGTTACAAATGTGGCAAGAGAAAAAGCAATGGATTTACCCATTGACCCTAGGTTCTGAGATAAGTATGAGGAAAGTATAATTTTGGTGAAGCAATTATATGAAATACCCGCAGTTCAGAATACAGTCATTCATACTTCCCCTCAAATAACCAAAATTTGGGATCATTTATTGGGATCTACCAAGAGATCAAACTGTGAGGGATACCACATCCTTCTTTAACCATCCTTTGCTGGGTTCTACATGAGAAGTGTTTGGTGAAAAAGCTTTGTCCAATTAGTGCACTTCCTACCCTGGTTTGGACCTGAGAAGATTCTTCGTCAGATTGTGAAGAGATGCAATTGTGTCCATTAGAGACAAGAAGCAGGGACTGTCTCTGAGCAGCAAGTGTTTCTCCTTTGGGGAAGCTCTCAGGATGCTGCCCCTTATCTCTTCCTGTGTGGTTACTAAATTCTCCCCAAGCAGGTAGTGAGATTGCTGATGTCACAGAAGTGTCTCATATTTTAGGAAGCTGGTTCCCTAGTGGTCACACTCCTTCAGAAACACGTATCCCAGACTGTGTGTCCCCATCCACATGGATCTACTGAGCTCACTGAGGCCCCCATACTCAGTGCATATTGGGAGCAATAGAACTTTGCAGCTGCTCAATGCAGTGACTCTGGGCATAACTAGCTGGAAAGTCTCACGAACAAATCACTCTGTTGCCTGTCTGCATTTTCTGGTTATGCTATTTATTGTTGCTCTTATTTTAATCTTTTGTAGAACGTTAGTTTAATTCACATGGATTATTTCACACTAAGAGAATATAAATCTATCACCAACTTCAGAAGAATTGATCACATTCGCATAATAGTTTTGAGGAATAATTTGTCTTACTATTAAATCATTTTTTCCTACACATTTTATTTTTAATCATTAAAGAATTACTCATTTTGTGAGTATTTTATCAGCATGGATATGTGTGCAACATACATGTGAGTCATAATGTGGGTGCCAAAAACCAACCTAGTTCCTCTGTAGAAACACCATTTTTCTTAACTTCTGAGCCATTGCTCCAACCCTTATCTGAGATATTTCCAATAATGATTACTAATATCCAAAAGTAGTTTGAATGTTTTCACAATCACTGTGCACAGACAAGCAAACATGTATGAAATATTCAATATTTTAATAATTTGTTTTTCATTACATTTGAGTCCTTTTTATTTTCCACATAAGCATATGAAACAAGGATTGTCTTTGGAAATATTAGCTTATTTCATATTCATAAAATACACTCATCTATGGTGGACTGACAAGACCCAGAACCAGTGCTATGAGTTGACAGTCACCAACATCCACCCCATCTGTGGACTGCTAGAGCAGTCTTTTCTTGCACATCCAAAGATGCAGGATCTCCATGCCATGAGGCAGCAACAGGATATCCAAAATGATTCCCAGTGAGAGTCCAACATTAATAGTGTAGCAGAAATCAGAGACCTTGAACCAAACCCATGACTATTATAATGAACACCTGCAAGTAAAGTATGCAGTAAGGGTACGGTGCGTGGCCCACTGTGTCACACTACAGCTTCCTTGACGAAATTTTATTATTCTTTAATTTTTACTTTACTTGGGGGGTGTAGGTTGCAATAGACAGAGTGCAGACTCAAAGGGATGGGGAGAAATACCGGTCAGGACGCATGATGTGAAATCCACAACAAAATCAATAAAATATTTCAAAAAATAGTCTTCTCTAATTACAATCAAATAAATAAATACTTTTTAATTATTTCCTGGCCTCTACTCCTCTGGGGTGAGTTTGCTACTTTTTGTTCTAGGACTTTCAGTTGTGTTGTTAATTCTCTAGTGTGACTGTCCTCTGTTTTCTTCATATGAGCACTTAAGCAATGAACTTTACACATAGCACTGCATTCAAAGTGTCCAATAAATTCAGGTATGTTGTGTCTTCCTTCTCACTGAATTCTAGGAAATCTTTAATTTCTTTCTTCCTTCCTTTCTTCCTTTCTTCCTTCCTTCCTTTCTTTCTTTCTTCCTTGATGCAGGAATGGTGCAATTGCGCATTGTTCAGTTTCCATGGGTTTGTAGGGTTTCAGCAATTTGTGTTGTTGAATTCCAACTTTAAACCATGGTGATCTGATAAGATACAAGGGCATATTCCATTAATTTGTATCTGCTGGGGTTTACTATGTTGCTGAGTATGTGTTCAATTTTAGAGAAGGTTCCATGTGGTGCTGAGAAGAAGGTATATTATTTTGTGTGTGGATGGAATGTTCTATAGATGTCTGTTAAACCCAATTGGGACATAACTTCTGTCAGTTCTTTTGTGTTTTGTTAAGTTTCTGTCGGGTGGTCCTGTCTAGAGATTAGAGTGTGGTGTTCAAGTCTCCCACTATAAGTGTGTGAGGTTTTATGTGAGCTTTGAGTTCTAGTAGTGTTTCTTTTACCAATGTGGGTACCTTTGTATTTGGGGCATAGATGTTCAGAATTAAGACTTTGTACTGATGGATTTCTCCTGGGATGAATATGAAATGACCGTCTTCATCTGTTTTCATTGATTTTGGTTTGAAGTCTAACCTGTTATATATTAGGATAGTTACACCTGCTTGCTGCTTAGGTCCTTTTGATTGTAAGTTCTTTTCCCAACCCTTTACCCTGAGGTAATTTTGTCTCTGAAGCTTAGATGTGTTTCTTGTATGCAGCAGAAAGATGGATTCTCTCTTCGTATCATTCTGTTAGCCTGTGTCTTTTTATAGGTGAGTTAAGACCATCAATGTTGAGGGAAAGTAAGGACCATTGATTGTTAATTCTTGTTTGTTGTAGATTTGATGTTGGCGGTGAGTATATTTGCCCTGCTTTTTCTATTGTCTATGTCTTTGTGAGTTTAGTTAACTTCCTTGAGTTGGAGTTTTCCTTCCAGAACTTTCTACAGGGCTGGATTTGTGGATATGTATTGTTAAAATCTGGTTTTGTCATTGAATATCTTGTTTTCTCCGTCTATAGTGATTGAAAGTTTTGCTGGGTATAGTTACCTGGGCTGGCATCTGTGGACTCTTAGTATTTGTAGAACATCTATCCAGGACCTTCTGGCCTTGAGAGTTTCCATGAACAAGTCAGGGGTAATTTTGATAGGTTTGCCTTTATATATTACCTGGTCTTTTTCTTTCTCTGCTCTTAATATCCTTTCTTTATTCTGTATGTTAGTTCTTTTGTTTATTATGTTGCAAGGAGACTTTGTTTTTTAGGTCCAGTCTATTTGGTGTTTGGTATGATTCTTGTACTCTCATAGGCATGTCCTTCTTCAGATTGGGAAAGTTTTCTTCAATGGTTTTGTTGAATATGTTTACTACACCTTTGAGCTGGTGAGCTTCTTCGCCTTCTTCCATGGCTATTATTCTTAGGTTTTGCCTTTTCATGGTATGCCACATTTCCTAATTGTTTTGTGTTAAGGATTTGTTGGATTTAAGATTTTTTTCTTGATGAGTCTATTTCCTCTAGTTTGTCTTCAGTGCCTGAGATTCTCTCTTCGATCTCTTGTACTCTGTTGATTATGCTTGCATCTGTAGTTCCTGATTGTTTACACAGTTTACACTATTTCCAGTATTCCCTCAATTTGTGTTTTCTTTATTGTCTCTGTTTCAGTTTTCAGATCTTGAACTGTTTGTTTCCTTCATCTGTTTGATTGGTTTTGTTTTTGTTTTTTGTTTGTTTGTTTGTTTTTTGTTGTTGGCTTACCTTACTTCTTGAAAAGATTTGTTCACTTATTGCATTTTTTGTTTGGTCTTTTCTTCTATTTCTTCCAAGTTTTTGTTTGTTTTTTCTTCCATTTCTTGGAGGGATTTTCTCATATCATCTTTGAGGGACTCTATCATTTTTATGAAGTTATTTCTTTAAGTCATTCTCTTCTGCTTCGTCTGATTTGGTGTGTTCATGTCTAGGTGGTGTAATGTCCTTAGATTCTGGTGGTTTTTCTACTGTTGGATGTTTTCTTGTATTGCTGTCTTTGCATCATTTCTTCCAGTGGGTGCAGGGACAGTCCCAGCCTCAGGCATTGCTCTCAGGAATATCCCCTTCCAAAACCTAGCCCTGGAGAACATTGTGACTGTGCAATACCATGCAACAGGCTGCCTTCTTCTGTCCTAGGAATCCATGACAATAAACACCACTTGACAGCACTGCCCAGCCCTGAGGTGACCTCAGGTGGGAACATGACACTCCAGTGTGTCTCACAGGAGAGATATGACAAGTTCATTGCACCAGTGAACATCAGAAGTTCTCCAGCTCCCTGAACTCACACTACTTACATATTATTATGCAGTACCAAGCCTTGTTCTCTATAGATCATGTAACATCTTACCACACAGGGAAATCCCAATGTTATGGTTAGTACAAGAAAAGCATACAGCTGTGGTCAGTACTCAGTGAGCCCCTGGTAAAACACATCTCAGGTGAGGCAGCCCCTTCGCTGATCAATCATTTTTGAAACCCTAAGCCCTATGTCATAGACCTGAGCAACTGGGTAGCTGCAGATATAGAGTACAAAGTGAAGATCCTGACTGCTGATCCAGAGCCCCACTCCTGGGGCACACCAGTGGCATGTGCAGGGCAGGACGGGAAGGAATAGGTTTTGGAAAATACCAGCTCCTAAACCACTAGCCTGTCACATTCCTTCTAGCCTGTCCAAGAAGCCCTCCCTGCAGACTCAGCAAGGCCACATCCTGGACCCTGGAAAGAGCCTCACCCTGCAGTGTTGCTCTGACATCAACTATGACAGATTTGCTCTGTACAAGGTGGGGGGAACAGACTTCACCCAGCATCATGGCCAGAGGACCCAGGCTGGCCTCTCAGTGGCAAACTTCACACTGGGCTTTGTGAGAAGAACTACCGGTGGCCAGTACAGATGCTATGGTGCACACAACCTCTCCTCTGAGTGGTCAGCCTCCAGTGACCCCATGGACATCATGATCACAGGTGAGGAACTAAATAGATTCAGCCTGTTGCCTAAGTGCTGCATCAGCTCACTTGGGAGACCTAAGAGCTGATGGCTGGGATGAGGGACTGGGATCTGACAAGAACAGATGCAGAGACGGGAGCAAGAATGAGGGTAAGGCAGAGATAACATAGAGTCTCAGATGTTCAGAGCTAACACTTGTGAAACCTCAGATCATAACACTGAATGCAGCCTCTCATTGTCTCTGTCTATTTAGGAGAGATTCCTGCAACTCCTTCCCTCTCAGTGAAGCCAAACTCCACAGTACAGTCTGGAGACAACGTGACCCTGCTGTGTCAGTCAACATACACAGTGGACACTTTCATTCTGTCCAAGGAGGGAGCAGCACACCAACCCCAGCGAATGAAATCAAAGTCCCAAGATTGGGGGTCCCAGGCAGAATTCTCCATGAGTGCTGTGACCTCTGCCCTCTCAGGCACCTACAGGTGCTATGGTTCTCGAGACTCATCTCCCTACCTGCTGTCACGTGCCAGTGCCCCTGTGGAGCTCTCTGTCTCAGGTGAGGTGACCCTGAACTCTCGGGGTAACTTACAGACCAAACCCTAGGAGAGTCCTTGACTTTAGGTGAGATCAAAGGGACAATAGGGAAGGTTAGTCAAAAACCAATTTCACTGACTGAGAAATGGATGCCAGCAGAGTCCCTCAAGTAATGTCCACTCCATCCTCCATTGCAATCTAGGTTTGGGGTAGAAAGCATGAGGATCTTGGCGCGGGGGGGGGGGGAAGAGGGAGGTATTCGACAGTGTAGGACAGACAGCAGAGGAAGATCCATAGTTAGAATCAAACCCTCAGCCCTTCTTATTCTGTTTCCTAGGACCCATTGGAACATCAAGTTCATGTCCACCACCCTCAAAGCCCTTGCCAACAGCTGGTGAGTATCCGGCGCCTCAGAGGATGGAGTATGGTCCATTATCTGAGCCCCCACAAATTTCCCATTTCTCTGTCACTTAGCTTGTGAGTGTGGGAGGCAAACAGAGATTGCAAGAGAGAATCCAGAAGCCCAGAATTTAGCAGTTGGGATACAGAAGATGGTATACAGAGAGAGATCTTCAGACTCAGTCTGGAGGATGTGGCAGGTGGGTGTGGGGGAGAGCAGGGATCCCACACAGTAACCTCTTCATCTGCCTCTAAGGTCCTGAGAACACACCTCTCACCTGCATTGAGTCAGGCCCTGGAAGGCTGTGTAACCACACTGCTAGATGTGACACCCACACGGGCAATGCCCAGTTATAGGCTTCTTACAGTCTCTGTGGCCTTCCTCCTGTTCCTCTTCATTCTCACCTTTCTCCTTCTCAGACGAAGGCATCAGGGAAAGTTGAGGAAGGATGGTGAGTCCTGTGTGGGTGACCAATGTGTCAGGTGGTGATGGGCTTCTCAAACAGGCTGGGTAGTGTAGAAACACTTGCACATCTCAGATCAGAAAACATGTGATCTCAGATCAGGGGTTCTGTGAGCTTTGCCATGACCTGGGACATTTTCTCACTCACCCCTGTTGTAAAAGTCCCTCCCTTCCTCCCTCCCTCCCTCCCTTCCTCCCTTCCTGCACATGTTTGTTGGAAACACACACACACACACACACACACACACACACACACACAAGCTGAGAATCTTTTCTCTTGCAGCCCAGAAAGAAACAGAATCGCAACTTCCTGCAGGAGCTATAGAGCCAGTAATCAGACACAGAGGCCGCCAGAAGAGGTAACTCATGACCAGGGGCCTAGACCCCACCTTCCTGACACAACTCACTGCCCCCTGATGTCTCCTTGTCTTTCCAGATCCAACCCAGCTGCTGCCACCCAGGAAGAAAGTCTTTGTGAGATAAAGGGGTCCTGGGGGCGGAGCCTGAGGTCTCTGCACTGCAGGGGTGGTGAAGGGGTCCTGGGGGTGGAGCCTGAGGTCTCTGCACTGCAGGGGTGGTGAAGGGGTCCTGGGGGTGGAGCCTGAGGTCTCTGCATTGCAGGGGTGGTGAAGGGGTTCTGAGGTCTTTGCTGTTTGGGTCTGAACTTCACACTATGAACACATGGATATCACCACACTCCCTGACTCTCTGTCCTCACTTGGACGAGGCAGGAAACTAAAGGTCTGAGACATTGCTAGACTCTGGTCAGGAGACACTCTGTTTTTCTGCTGAAAGATGCTTCAGTGGAGGACATGAAACCGCAGGATGGTGTTGAGCTGGACATTTTGGTGAAGATCCTGTCCCTATTTAAGTGCTGAGAACTTAAGTTTCAGTTTACTACAGGAGGTCGTCTTTGTGCTTCCTCGCTTGGCCCTCAACAACATCCATAGCCAAACACTGCCTTCTGAAACTACCTGGCTCCACGCACGCTGTCCTGGGTTTCCTGAGACCATGGATCTCTTTGCCACTGTCTTCTTTCAGGCTCCTTGGCATCTCTCTGGTTGTCTTTGGAGGGGACAGCCCAGATGGAGAAGCCCACAGAAACTCAGGCAGGAAATGTGAAGAGAAATACAACAAGCCCATGTGAAAATGTGCACTCCTTATGTGTAATATTCATTCATGTCTGCTACCATCTGGTTCTGACAAAGATGAGGACAGATGAGACAGACACTGATGGGATTTTGGAAAGGACATCTATTAAATATTGTAGCAGTCTCCTGCCTGACCAAGTCACAGATTTGGGGAAGTCAGAGCCTGGTGGCAGAGGAGGTCAGTTCCCCTTCCTGTGGGGCTGCTGAAGTACAACCACATCACAGGGAAGGCTCTGCCTCCAGAGGCCACACCCTATGTCTCCTGCCCCTTCAGACAGACTCTGTACTCTGTCCATAGGCACAGTTGCAGCCTCCAGGAGGAAATGCCATGACCTTCACCTTCACAGCCCTGCTCTGTCTGGGTGAGATGTGGGGATGGGGAGGGGATATGGAATCTGGGATTGACGCTGTCCCACAGCCCAGCACTGGTCAGTAGGGAAACCCCAGGGCATCAGGAGGTTCTGCAGAGTTCAGGACCTTCACAAGCTTCAGGGACAAACCTCTCACAGGGATCTCTCTTCCAGGACTGGCTCTGGGCCTTGGGACACCAGTGCTGGCAGGTGAGTGAGGGTCTGCAGATGTCCTGACATCACTTGTCATCATTCCTGGAGCCGTTCTGGGCAGTGAGGATGGAAGCCACACATGTGTGCTGCTGCCTCTGGGGTGTGGGAGTGTTCAGATCGGGAGCTGCAATCTGAGTATGGATGTCCTGGGTTCTACCTGATCCTTTCCTTGCAGGATCTCTCCATAAGCCTGTCCTAAGAGTACAGCCAGACTCCGTAGTCCCTGAGAAGACGGCAGTGACCTTCTTGTGTGAGGGGACTAATAGAGCCATACAGTACTTCCTGTATACCGATGGGGACACACATTTAACACAGAGAAAGGCTACACTGAATGCTAAGAACAAGGCTGAGTTTGTGATCTCAAAAGTAAGCCAGAATGACGCAGGGCGATACCAATGTTGCTCTCAGATCAGTGAGGGAAGGGCAGAGTGCAGTGACTCCCTGGTGTTGGCAGTGACAGGTGAGAGGACTCACAGGGTCCACAGCCTCAGGGTGGACCACAGGGAAGCGGGACTGTACACAGGGGTGACTGCTCTCACAACCCTGGAGGACAATGAGGCCAGTGAGGACATTTAACTCACTCCTTCTCCACTCCTAGGGGCCTACAGTAAACCGTTCCTGTTGGGCCAGCCCAGCCCTGTGGTGACTGAAGGAATGAATGTCACCCTCCAGTGTGCCTCAAGTCAACATTACAAATTTGTTCTGACTAAGGAAGGACCACAGAAGCACTCATGGACTCTGAGTTCACAGTATAACCACTATACTGGGCAGTACTACGCCCTTCACTCTGTGGGCCCTGTGACCTCCAGCCAAAGGTGGACATACAGATGCTACAGCTTTGACAGTTACAGGCCAATGGTGTGGTCAGAACCTAGTGAGCCCCTGGAGCTCCTGTTCTCAGGTGAGGAACCCCAGCCTTTCCTTGAATGATGCTAAAATGGCAAAGATGCTGAGGGATCCTTGGTGTGTGCTGTGTGAGGATCCAGGGCTCCTGAGCCCATAGACACAGATAGTGGGAGACAGAGGGACACAAGACTCAGAATCCAAGGCAAAGAGTGGCAGCAAAGCCCAGGAGGTCCAGGACGAGGAGGAGTCTTTCCGGAGCCCCCCATTAATCTAGATCAGCTTAAGTAGCATCAAAAAGAGCTCAGGGCGCTGCACAGAAAAGACAGAGGAAGGGTTGGAGAAGCCTGAGCACTCAGACACCAGGAGAACACGGCCCACAGGATCAACTAAGCAGGGATCACAAGGGCTCAGAGACTAAGCCACAATCAAGGCACATGCATGGATCTTCCCTGAGCCCTCTGCACACACGATGTGCTGGTTTGTCCTGGGATCTTTTGTTTGTTTGCTTGGTTGGTTGATTTTGTTTTTTAAAGGTTTACTATGTGTCCCTGTCTGCCCTGGAAATCACTCTGTAGACCAGGCTGGTCTGTAACTCACAGGGATCTGCCTCCATTTGCCTCCTGAGTGCTAGGATTAAAGGCATGTGCCACCACTGCCTTACTCATAACTATAGGAGACTGTAGGTCTCTGACTGCAGAGGGGATCTTTCTCCTCCTACCGGGTTGCCGTCTCTGGCCTTAATGGGGTGTTTGTCTACTCTCACTGCATGTTATTCTGTCATGTTCCAGTAATATCACTGGGAACCCTACGCTTTTCTGAAAGGAAGCAGGAGCAGTGTATCTGGGGGAGAGGGGAGGTTTGCAGACTGCGGTCAGGGTGCATAGCTTGACAGAAAAATAACTTAAATGGAAAAAAAGTACTGTCTGCAAGTGTAACTGATTCTTTGCCACTTTGACACAGACCCACCTCCTTCTCTATTTCCTGGCAGGGTCCCTCCACAAACCCACCCTCAGGGCTGAGCCAGGCCCTGTCATCGCCTCAGGAAGATCCATGAACATCTCCTGTCAGGGGACCCTGGATGCAGAAATGTGTTTTCTGCATAAAGAGGGTACACAGACCACAAACGAGCTTGGGAACAAGTGCACACGCTCCATTCCTTCTGTGGCACAGCAACATGCAGGACAGTATCGCTGTTACTGTTACAGCTCAGCTGGCTGGTCAGAGCGCAGTGACACCCTGGAACTGGTGGTGACAGGTGAGGGGACAGTCGAAGTCTCAGCCCCAGGCCCTGCTCTCAGATGTATTCCCTTCTCCCAGCCTAGGCCTGCACAGCACTGTGACTGTGCAATCCCATGTAACTGGCTGCTCTTTCTGTCCTAGGAATGTACAATGATAACCCCTTCCTGACAGCACTGCCCAGCCCTGTGGTGACCTCAGGAGGGAACATGACTCTGCAGTGCGTCTCACGGTATGGATATGACAAGTTCGTTCTCACCAAGGAAGATGAGAAATTCTCCAGCTCCCTGGACTCACAATACATATACAAGAAGGGGCACCACCAAGCCACATTCTCTGTGGGCTCTGTGACCCCAGTCCACAGCGGGACATTCCGATGTTATGGTTACTTAAAGAACACCCCACAGTTGTGGTCAGTACCCAGTGACGCCCTGAAAATACACATCTCAGGTGAGTCAGCCACATCATTGGCCAAGTTTTCTAGACAACCTAAACCCAATGCTACAGTTCTACCTCTCTGTGGAGTTGTAGGTAGAGAATGAGTAAATGGAGAGCCTGTACTCGGAGCCAGAACCTGACACCTGAGAGAGGAAGTGACATGTTCAGGGAGGGTAAGAGGGGATAGGTGTTTGAAGAAAAAAAAAATCAGCTCATTAATCACTAGCCTGTCGCTTTCCCTCCAGGCCTGTCCAAGAAGCCCTCCCTGCAGACTCAGCAAGGCCACATCCTGGACCCTGGAAAGAGCCTCACCCTGCAGTGTTGCTCTGACATCAACTATGACAGATTTGCTCTGTACAAGGTGGGGGGAACAGACTTCACCCAGCATCATGGCCAGAGGACCCAGGCTGGCCTCTCAGTGGCAAACTTCACACTGGGCTCTGTGAGCAGAACTACCGGTGGCCAGTACAGATGCTATGGTGCACACAACCTCTCCTCTGAGTGGTCAGCCTCCAGTGACCCCCTGGATATATTGATCTCAGGTGAGGAACTAAATAGATTCAGCCTGTTGCCTAAGTGCTGCATCAGCTCCTGTGGTGGATGTAAGAGCTGACGGCTGGGATGAGATAGGTACTGGGAACTTATTACAGAACAGATGCAGAGATGGGGAGCAGGAGAGAGGGTAAGGCAGAGACAAGAAGAATCCCAGGTGCTCAGAGTCAAACCCCTGTGAAGTCTCAGCTCAGACCATTGAATGCAGCCTCTCATTGTCTCTATTTAGGAGAGATTCCTGCAACTCCTTCCCTCTCAGTGAGGCCAAACTCCACAGTACAGTCTGGAGACGACGTGACCCTGCTGTGTCAGTCAACATACACAGTGGACACTTTCATTCTGTCCAAGGAGGGAGCAGCACACCAACCCCAGCGAATGAAATCCAAGTCCCAAGATTGGGGGTCCCAGGCTGAATTCTCCATGAGTGCTGTGACCTCTGCCCTCTCAGGCACCTACAGGTGCTATGGTTCTCGAGACTCATCTCCCTACCTGCTGTCACATGCCAGTGCCCCTGTGGAGCTCTCTGTCTCAGGTGAGGTGACCCTGTTCTTCCTGAGCTGAAGAGGGGTCAGCATTCTCCATTTACAACAATGATTGGCTATGATGGGTATTCACACTCATGATGGTGGAGGCTCGCTAGGAATGCTCACTACACACTGTAATAAGGGAATCAAGAAGGTTTTGGCAGCTGGTAAGAGCATCTTGGAGAGGCCACAGACAGTCATAGGATTCCTAGTAGAAACCAGTCTGCACTGCCAACCTCTGCTGATCACCCACCACTTGTCAGTATTCACAGACCCTTTTTCTTGCTGCATCCATGTCCCACAGTGTCCAGGGGAGGAGGTAGCCTTGCTATAGTACAAACTTTCCTATACTTTTGTTCTATTCAAAACAGGCCCACATGCATAGATCAATCTTATGAGACAAAATTTGCCTTAAGGATCTGAAAATGACAATGAAAACATTAAGCAAATTAAAATAAAGCAGCCTCAGACGATACCTATTGCTTTGTGAAGACTACAACCTTTCATGATAGGGTGAAATACAGAAAAAGATAGTGTGTGGGTTCACCTTCCTCTGTGAGGTGGCAGCTAAGAATGTCTTCTGCCTTCCCTTGCTATGGGAAGGATGAAGAAGAGAAGAGGAGTGGGAGGAAAACATGAGGGCAATGGATGGTTAGGATAGGAAAGGACGGAGTAGGGGAGCAAGGAAAGAGATAATCTGATTGAGGGACTCATTATGGGGCTAGGGAGAAGCCTGGCACTAAGGAAATTCCTGGGAATTCACAAACATGACCCCAACAGCTAGGCAGTGGTGGCGCGCACCTTTAATTGAAGCACTCAAGAGGCAGAGGCAGGTGGGTCTCTGTGACTTTGAGGTCAGCATGGTCTACAAAGCTACACAGAGAAGCCCTGTCTAGAAAAATCCAAAACAAAATGATGACCCCAACTAAGACCTTAAACATTAGTGGAGAGGGTACCTGAACTGGCCTTCCCCTGTAATCAGATTGATGATACCTGAATTACCACTACAGCACCTTCACCCAGAAACTGATGTAGGCAGACGTGGAGGTCTACAGCTAAGCACTGAGCCAAGCTCCCAGAGTCCACTCAAAGAGAGAGGGGAACGATAATATGAGCAAACGGGTCAAGACTGTTTTGTGGAAACCCACAGAGACAGCTGAATTGAGACAGTGAGGACTAACTGACTCCAGACTGATAAAACAACCTTCATGGGACCAAACTGGGCCCTCTGAATGTGGGGGACAGTTGTGTGACTTGGGCAGTCTGTGGGTCCACTAGCAGTGGGACCAGGATTTATCCCTACTGCTTCAATCGGCTTTTTGGAGCCCATTCTCTTTTGAGAGATACCTTGCCCAGCTTTGGTATAGGGGAGGCCTCAAAGAGATGTGCCAGACTTCCTCAACTCCCCAGGGAAAACCTTACCCTCTGTGAGGATTGGATGGGGGTGTGTTATGAGTATGGTTTTCCCTGCCGGTCTTGTCCCACCGCAGTGCCTGCCCCAAATAATACAGAGATTCGCTGTATTAGATATTAAGCTGTTGGCCAGTTGCTAGTGTTTCTTATTGGCTAGCTCTACCTTAAATATTAACCCATTTCTATTAATCTAAGTATTTCCATGTGGTCTCATCTTACCAGAGAGAGGTCCCAGACCTCTGTTCCCTCAAGTCTCTACATGCTGACTCCTCCCTACTCCTTCTGGAATCCTCCTTGACTCCTTGTCCCACCTATCTTGCTTTCTTATTGGCCAACAGTGCTTTATTCATTAACCAATGCAAGAAACATATTTATCAAATGACGTCTCCCATCATCTCCTCTTTTCTGTCGGAGAGAGGGCCTGTTCTCTCTGTTCTCTCAACTCTCTTACCGGAGAGAGGGGCTGGTGTTCTCCTCTCTCCATCCTCCATCTTGAATCTCTTCCCTACTACCAGTCTCCTAGCCCCACCTATCTCACTTTCCTATTGGCCAGCAGTGCTTTATTCATTGTCAAATAAGAGAAACATATTTACCGAATGACGTCTCCCATCAGGGGTGTGGTGGAGGGAAGGTGGGAAGGCTGGAAGAGGGGATGGAGTGGAAACAGGAAATTGGTATGTAAAATAAGAAAAGATTGTTTTAAATTTTAAAAACATGTTTAAAAAGATATATGATAAGGTGCTTAGTCTTACCAAAACTTTATATACCATGTTTTATTGATGTTCATGGGAGACCTGCCCTTTTCTAAAGAAAAATGGAGAAGGAGTGGATTTGTGAATGGGAACAGGGGGTGGGAAGTACTGACTTGGGGGAAACTGTGGCTGGAATGTAAATTAAAAATAATTCAATGTATTTTTTTAAAGAATAAGAAAGGAACCTAGCTATGCTAGCAGAAAGATTCATCCCAGATTTCATAAGCTTACAGGGTGAGAATGATGGGTATTTACAGTAAATGAGAAAGTCAAATTCAGAAGAAACGCTCAGATCTCCTAAGTACACCCACATCCTACTTATCTTCTTCTGTACTCAGGGTCAGTTGAGATTATTAGTCCATACCAGAGCATGCCCAAACCCAAGACAGTTGAATAAAGAGAATTCAAAATCATAACACTGGAAACAGAGGCTGCAAGTTTAGTCTAGGGAAGGCGTACACCCTGGGTGGGCATTTAGTTACATTGGAGACATTTAGGTATCTTGAGGCAATTTTAACCATCCCTAACCTCTCTATCTTCTTTTTCCACAGCCACAGCATCAGAGAACCAGGACCACACAGTGGAGAATCTCATCAGGATGGGGATTGCTATCCTGGTCCTCATAGTCCTTGGGATTCTGGTCTTAGAGGCTTGGAGCAGCCAGAAACCGAGCCATCATGTACCCGAGATATAATTGGAACAGAAAGAAGTACATCTCTCAAGGTTTGAGACTCAGGGTAATAAGTCTCATGATCCCAAGATTTCTGTAAGAATATCAATTTGTTGCATTGATGAACTGCTGTGAAGGAATGTCCATGAATCAAATGCATTTTGGGTGCAAAGGAAGGTGTGGGTGTTGTGATGACATCATTCATTAGCAAATGACTTAACATCCCTCTACCTACCATGGACATTTGTTGGTTGGCACAACTTATTTCTAGATCTAAAAAGTTAGGGAAGTCCCTTAGACTGCTCAGTCCTTCTGGCTGAGACCCATATTCAGGGGGGCCTGAGTCAGTCCCATGCTGGCTTCCCAGCTATCAGTCTGGGGGCCCATTAGCTCCTCCTTGTTCAGGTAAGCTGTCTCTATGTGCTTCTGCCGCGTGGTCTTGTCCTCTCCATCTGCTTCTGGGTTCTAGTTCGACTCAGTGTTTATGTATGGGTGTTTGCTCCTATTTTCAACAGGCATTAGTTGAGGGCTCCATGGAGAAGTTAGTTGTTGATCTCACTCTCCGGGAAGGGCATTTATGATAGCCTTTCCACGGAAGCTGAGATTGTTAGTTGGGAGCAGTCTTGTAGTTCTCTCGACCTTTCTTTGTGTTCAATTTTATCTTCAAACCAATATTGGCTTCCTCTTTTATGTTCTCTCTCTCTGTCTCTCTGTCTCTCTGTCTCTCTCTCTCTCTCTCTCTCTCTCTCTCTCTCTCTCTCTCTCTCTCTCTTTCCTATCTTCTATTCCTAACCAGGCTCAATCTTCCTGGTCACACAGCTTTTCCTTTCCTCCCCCTCATTTTCTCCTACTTCTCTCTCCATTCGCTGTCTTCCCCCACTTCACCTGAGCTCTGGGGGACTTGTCCCTTCCCAGTTCTGTGAGGGGCTTTATATGAATCTCTTAGAATACACCTTGTATCCTAGTTCATCTGGTGATGTGAATTATAGGCTGGTGATCATTTGATCTAGGTCTAAAATCCATATATGAGGTCAAGTTACTGGGGAAAAGGATTTCTATTTTTGTTTCCACAGAAAATGAAAAGATGTGGATTCCTTCCAGACTAATGAGGTTTGATCATGCCAGACTGCCTGAAACAGAGTACAAGCTAATCCTACATTCAAAACAGCTGGACAAAACAGCCCTACAGACTACAGCCAGGATATCTTAATCTTCTTCGAATCCCCCCAAGACAGCGCCCCTTACCAGCAGGAAGTAGCTTGGAAAGAACGACGCTCAAATTCCCAAATATTGTGTATAAATGTTTGTTTTCATTTAATTGGACTTTGTTATATAAAATTAAATAAAATAAAAAAAAATATAATAAAAAAAGAAAGAAAAAGAAAAACAAAAAAGTTAGGGAAGATGCAGTCCTATCTGCCTGGCATGGGTCCTCATTTCTGAACATTATTTTTATTTCCCTCCCCTTCATGAGTCATTTTCCATTTTCCCAATTCCAGGAACCTCTATCTTTTGCAATACAAAGATGTTGCCTCAAACAAAAATGATGAGTAAATTCAGAGTCCCAGATTCAAAGTCACTCTGCCTGTGAAGCCCAAAACTCTCCATCACCCTCCAAACTTTCATACTTTCAGCACATGTTCTTCATAGAGTTTCTCCTTAAATATAACGCCAGTGTTGCCACACAGGTGTGATAAGGAATATCTGGCAGGATACTGTGGGCAATACTTTAAAAGTGATTTTCTTAACGTACGTCCTAATTGGTAGCATTTGTTGAACACTGTAAGTATCCCCATCTAAGACATCTTGACAACAGTAATGAAACATCACATGTGTGTGGATGGGATATGTTGAATGAAATTGATTTTTTTATTATTATTTCATTTCCACTGCCTGTTTCTCACGCATGCAAAAGCAATTGACTTGCAGATCAATCGTCCCAGAATCATCTTGCTAGGATGACTAGTCACACAGTGATCCAGTATTTCTTCACAGACAATCATGTTATCTTCAAACAATAATAGTGGTAATTATTTCTCTCTTTCTATTACCTATGCTTGAAATGCTCACTTACTTTACTTCTGTTTCTGTGTTTGCTAAGCCTTCAAGTACAAAGATGGAAGAGTGTAAAGAGAGGAGATTCTGTTACCTTCTTCAGAACTTCCTGCAAATCTCTGCTTTGTCAAAGTTCAGTATGATGCTAACGTCAGTGATTTTGTGCATGAGCTTATTCTGACTCTGAAGGGCTTGTGTTTCTAATTTGCTATGAGTGTCCATGATGAATGGCTGTGCCACACTGGCAAATGCTAATTCTTCATCAAAAATTATCTCTGTTACATGTTTTTATTTTCACTTTGTTGTCATCATCAGTACATTGTTTTAGATGTTGAATGGGATTTACGTGACTGGGCAAATTCTACTTTATCGTGAGGTATTCTTTCATTTTATAATGCATTCTCATGGGTCACAGCCAGATATGATGGGACCAAATTCACATTCAGTAAATGTTTTTCAAGGTATTAACATCATAATATGCTTAGCAATGTCTCATGAATATGATGTCATAGATTAGTAGTTGTTCTGGATTGGTTTTACATGGTGCATGCATGATACTTTTTATAGAATTGGATGCTGTCTGTGTTCATGGGTGATTTTAGCCTATTCTTTGTTTCATCTAATTTCACTGTATGGACTTACAGTTAGGTGATGATGGACTTACAGCATAGCTTAGGTTACGTGTTCCATTATCTAGACATGAGTGTCCAGCTATGTAGTGAGATATCCACCCCACCCACACCTGTTGTACTGGCCATGCACATTGTGGAGTGGGGACAGTTGTGGACATGACCTGTGGGGTCTAGGACTGGGGTCCTGGAACCCAGCTCCCTCTCTTGCTTCCTGGTTGGAGACAGATAGCACCAGGGGGCATCCTTGAAGCAGGAACCTGCAGTGATCATCTGTTTCTGATGTAAGTGATTTATTTCTCCCCAAATAAACATCAATCTGCCCATATTGTGTCCCAGAATCTTATTTCCCATGCAATACAGATATTTGGGTAGGCTGCATGCAATTTCTCCCCTCACCTGAGCACAAACTTTTGGTTTTTTATTTTGTTTTGGTTTGAGTTTTTGTTGGTTTTTAGACAAGGTTTCTCTCATCCACAACATCAGTATACCACCTCATTGTCTATTTGTGGAAAATGTGACTTGGTCATATTATATGTTCATCTGACTCTGGCAGGCCCATGGAGAGAACATATATGCCCTGTTCCTGAAACATCATGTCTAGAGTGAATCTAGAAATTGATTATGATAACTACCACAGTGGAAGTCAATGGAAGGGGTATAAGGAGCTGGGATGCCACATGAAACCATCATGCCCAGATGCTCTATGGTCCTTTCTACTTAGTGCACAATACTAGTTCACAGAAAGTCATGCAACAAGGTGAAGGGGACAGGTTGCTGATGGAAGCATGAACAGAATCTAATGTCTCTGCCTCAGGGGGAAAAAAATGTTTATACTAATTTCAATCATTACCAAAACTTTCTAACACTTCAGATACTTCCACATGAGCTGTGGGAGGAGAAATATGCAACACCAAAGTGAAAGAAAATAGAAATGGATGGATGGATCCAACAGAGGTACCCAGTATCTGTGGAAATTATAGACCCTCCTACTATACCCAAGTCTGCAACCTACATGCTGGGATCAAAGAATGGAAGTGACCATGCTGGGAGTCCAAAACTTTGCTTCTATGTGCTGTCCTCTGAGAGACGTAGCATCAGGTTCCGATATCTCTTAACATCATTAACCAAGAACCTGCCCCACAGATATGACTACAGTATACTCCGATCAAACCACTTCCTTAGTTGAGATTCCCATTTACCAAGTGAACTCTAGTGTGTGTCAAAATGACAAAGCTAACCTAGGCACCCTCCTCTCAAATGAATCCATATATTAAAGCTCCCATGTCACTGAACTGTTATGAGCACTTTCCTGCCAGCCTGGTCCCACGGCCACATCAGCCCCAAATAACATTTAGAGACATTGTATTAATTATGAATCTGTTGGCCTGTTACTAGAGTTTCTTGTTGGTTAGCTCTGTCTTAAATACTAACACAGTTCTATTAATCTAAGTGTTTCCACATGGTCTTATCTTACCTGACAGAGGGTCCAGACCTCTTCTCTCATGTCCTACATCTTGACACCTCTCTACTACATCTCCCAGAATCCTCCTTGTCTCCTAGTCTCGTCCAATCTTGCCTTCATGTTGGCCACAAGTGCTTTATTCATTAAACAATAAGAAAAACATATTTACAGAATGACATCTCTCATCATCTATTCTTTTCTGTCTAAATTAAAAAGAAGGGCTTTAACTTTAACATAGTAAAATATACAACAGAACAGTTATCAAATAAGAACTATAGTTAACAATATTTAGTTCATTAACATTTAGCAAGATTTAAAGAAAATATTCCATCATCTATCCTATTTTTGTGAGTCTAAAGTCTTATATGTAACTTATATTTAATCCTAACTAAGGAAAACTATAACCATAACCATCTGTCTTCAACTCCATCAAAGACCACAGAAGGATAATATATAAACTCTAGAAATGACAGAGTCAACTCACTGCCTGGTCAGTTACCTCAAGTTCTTCTTCAGGTGTGTCTGGCAGACTCCTCAGCAAAGCAGGAAACTTTAAACTGTCCACCTGTATTGGCGGTGGTGTTTGTCAGTCCCTTTTCTCTGTGTCCTGCAGACTGTCTGGCAGAATCTTTTATGAAGCAGAAATCTGTAGCACTGTCCATCTTGTTTCAGCAGTCAGTTTTCTGTGGACCCTGCATGTCCAGTTTATACAGCATAAAGTCAAATAGTCCAGAAAAGAACAATTTCTTGCCCAAATGGCTAGTCTTGCCATATGGGAGTAAACTCCATAACAAGTTTCTTCGATGTCCATCTTCCTTTGTGATGCAGGTGGTGTTGTCAGGAGCAGTTATGTCTCACTGTCAAAAAAAAGCACTAAACCATTTTAAATGCCATATTCTGTAGATCTTTGAAAGGTTTGAAGAATGCCTATCCATTTCAAATATACCTCTATATCTATAAAAAACCAAAAAAACCTAACTATACATCTTACTATTGTAGGTAAATATCTGTAATTTGTACTTAATTATACATTACATTTTTTAAATGAGCTATATATATATACACACAATACTTAAAAAAGAGGAGAAATATACATATTACAAAATTGACCTTAAATTGTATCAATAAATGAAAATCAATTCAAAAGCAAAGTATTCATTTATATACCATAAGCCCCTTTTTACCTTTAAAAAGAGATTGGTTGTGATCATTAACCATTTACAATCAACCCCATTTAAATGAAAGCAAACATTTATAGACCATATTTAGGTATTTGGGCGTCATTCTTTCCGAACTGCTTTCTGCTAGTTGGGGATGCTAAATACCATGGGAATCCAAAGAAGATGCAGAAATCCTGGCTGTAGTCTTCAAGGCTGCCTTGTCCCAGCTGTTTTGGATATTGGATCACCTGAGACACTGTTTCAGGGGGGGGGTCTTGCTTGATCAGACCATGTTAGTCTGGAAGGAATCCACAGCTTTTCACTTTCAGTGGAAACAATAATAGAAATTCTTTTCCCCAGTAACCTGTCCTTAGACTTAAATTTTGAAGCCAAAGCATTTTTAAATATATAAATTGCATTAATTTAGCAACATTGATAATCAAGTATATTTTAGCAGTTGTTCCTTCCTTTGCAATTGAGCAATTCAGAGACAACACAATGGCATACAGTATCCAGACTATCTGTGTATTCTCCATCTTAAGGTGGCTTTTTTACTACTCTATTTCTTTTACTTCTATTTTTCACTTTTTGAGGCATGGTTTCTCTGTGTGATTTTTGCCTGTTCTGGAATTCACTCTGTACACCAGGCTGGCTAAACAACAAAATGCTAAAATGAAAGTCACAGCTGTTTTAGCCACCATCTATCCAAGATGGTGGGGAGTAGGTTTACTGCCAGCACTGAGAGCTGTGCTCACTGCCTTGGTCTGTTTGCCATACTGCAGCTTGGAGATGTGGTCACTGCCACTGCCAGCTGGCATGCACACCATTCAGTTGGTAACTGTGCCTCTTAAAAGTACCCTGCATTTTTTTTCCTGCTTATTCCGAGTCAGGAAACCTCCCTTAAAGGAGCTGTATGAGTCTCTGTTTGTCTCTAGCAAAATAGAGCCTGCCCGAGAAAAATGCTGACACCAAGAAGCCTTGCTTGTCTCTGTTCCTTTGTCTCTAAAATCCCTTTTTAAGTTTTTGTCAAGTTTTAAGTGCAAGTTCTTAGTACCCACGTTGTAGACGCCATTTTCGTATGAGCAGTCTTTCAGCAGACTGGTCCCACAGCCATGTCATCCACACAGAGACGCTGTATTAGATATAAAGCTGTAGGCCTGTTACTTGTGTTTCTTATTGGGTAGCTCTGTCTTAAATATTAACCCATTTCTATCAATCTAAGTGTTTCCACATGGTGTTATGTTACTGGAGAAAAGGTCCTGACATCTTATTCCTCTTCATCTTAAATTTTGATTTCTACTACTACATCTCCCAGAACCCTCCTTGTTTCCTAGTCCCGTCTATCTTGCTTTCCTGTAGGACAACAGTGCTTTATTCATTAACCAATAAGACAAACATATTTGCAGAATGTCATCTCCCATCACTGGACTAGGCGGTTCTCGCACTAACATTTAAAGACAGGCCACTGCCCTCATTGTACTCCAAGGAGGAAGATGGAGATTATCACCAGCCTCACTTTGAAAGTTGGCAAATGATGCTCTTGCACTCTTCATGGCAGCTAGATAGATTGCTCCCCTGAGCATTAGTGCTGAGGGCATTGAGACTGGGTCTCCACTGTCTTATCAGGAACTTTGGTCCAGACAGAAAAAGAATAGAAGGGGGGAAAAAAACAATGAGGAGGTATGGAAGAAGAGGAGAGAGTAGGAGGGTCTTCCTGTGACATAAATAAAGAATGCAGAAGAATTTGAAAATTACCCATTAAAAGACAAGCCCAGACAAGAGGGAAAGTCAGCTTCCCCAGTGAGTCAGCCAGGGCTGGCATAAATCTTTCTAAACCTTCTCTGTCACTGTTTGGGTTGGTCAATGTATGACACTCCAATCAACCTCAACACTGAAGAGCCTTCCTTGGTTTCTCCATCCTTCCATTTTCATTCTGATACTAACCTGAAACGGTCCCAACCTGAACTGCTTTTGCCACAGACCTCTGCACATCTGCACAGCCCAGGTTCAATGAATACTCAAGACATCTGTCTATACATTTGATCCATCCACCTTCTGCACCACTTCAGGCCCCAATCACCACTTCATCTATTACTACAAACACATCAGTCCATCTTACATCATTCTATGCTGGTCCCTACCCTCACACAGGCTGAATCCTTCCTAAAGGATCACATTTCTGCAATACCATAAAAGCCCTTCCTGATGCTCACAGTCAACAGAGATAATCTCTCCCACAGCAAATCCATTCTTCCCACAAGGCAAATTAAACTGAGGACACAAAATGCATTTTATACAGAGAGAGAGTGAGAGAAAGAGACAGACACAGAGAGAACAATTTCATCTGTCTATAATTAAAATACCTATACATCTCATGCCTGCATTCCATGGATAGTGAGAAAGCATGGAATACTACTGCAGCCTCTTACCACAGATATTGGCTAAGAAATGTGCTTATGTGTACATACATATGTGTATTTATACATGTATACATAAGCATATGTATACATGCATGTATGTATAAATATGAGCTCATGTCCTTATTAGGGGAACACTGGAAGCTCACTTACAACTTCCTACATTTATGGACACTGTCTGATTTCAGACCAGTATTGGAGATTTATCACAATTTAGTGCAAATATGTCCCTTATACCATCATCTTTCCATACCAATTGACTTCCTAAAGCATCAACAAGTCAAATAATCCTTTACCCATTCATTGCCCTTATTTAAAGAGGAAAGCATAGATCATATGCGTTGGAACAAGAGTGTGATGGAGTCACAACACCCTGTGAGAGTTTCACTTCTCAGAATATTTGCTGGTACTCCTTGATGAGTGTCTTTTCCTCGTATATGGACTGGAACCCACCCATCTTCAGTGCAAGCATAACACTTAATTCAATTGACTTCCACTGTTAGAGACTCAACTTCCCCTTCTCTTTATCTCCCTCATGTGTAGAAAGCCACCAGTAATTTACCCATCATTGGTACCTTTGCAAATATTCTTCTTCAGCCTCAGGAAGGATCCAGTTGGTGAAACCAATCACTTTGTGGCCTGGTACTAAGTCAATGTTTCATAATGTTAGTGGTTGACTATCACTATGATCACCACATGGTTATTAGAAGGAAGGAGCAATTCTTGCACTAACAGATTTCTGGGAGAAAAGGCTTGGCTCCACCTCAACTGTAGTCTTGGGCTCAATGTGGCCCTGCTGCTTTACAACCCTGTGAAACTGTCAGACTGTGTCTTCACAAAAGCATCTTCAAGACCAGGAAGATAATTAGTTTTCATAAGAAGCCAACCTCTGTCTAAATGGACATATTGAGGAAATGAAGGACATCCATGCAGAAGTTCTGACAGAGAAGGGGCAGCCAGTTCTGGTGCACGGAGACCCGGGTCCCATGAGATCAGAGAGTACATTCAGTGCATATGTCAGCAGTTGCCTTTGTCTTCACCTGCTTCAGAACAAGGCATAGTGACACAGCACTGAGTTCCTGTTCTTGGGACACTTTATTTCCACTTCACACAACAGCACAAGTTAGATTTGGCAAAAAGGGACACTTTAGAGCCACATGCTGAACATGTTCCATAATAAACACAATCAACTCCCACTTGCATCAAGGCTGGGAAAGCCATCACACCATAGGGAATAGGTTCCAAAGAAACAGCTCATGCACCACTGAAAGGTCCCCACAAACAGATCAAGCCACACAACCGTCATCCAGATGCAGTGGGTCAGTGCCATGCCAGCTCCCTAGCTGTTGGTTCAGAGTCCATTAGCTCCCCCAAGCTCAGGCAGCTGTCTCTGTGGGTCTCCTGTCATAACCTTGATGCCCTCAGCTCAGTGTACACGTAGTTTTGTTTGCTTTTTTAAAAGATTCACTTACTACTATGAATAATCTTCTACCTGGATGTGCACCTGCACACCTGAAGAGGGCACCAGATCTCGTTACAGATGGTTGTGAGCCACCATGTCGTTGCTGGAAATTGAGCGCAGGACCCTGGAACAGCAGCCAATGCTGTGAACCTCTGAGCCATCTCTCTGGCACCTCGTGCACACTTGTGAGCCAGCAATTAGACTATGAGGAAGTGTATTACCAATGTTATTGCATGCAGATGTACAGAGGCAGACTCTGCACAGAAACCTTCCAACATTTTTAATATAAAAAATATTTCATGTAGAAATATGTGAACAAGAACAAAGCAAGCTGACCTGAAAATTTTCATTTCTTACGTATAGTATTCATACTTGTCAGCTACCATCTGGTCCTCACAAAGATGAGGACATTTACACAGACAATGAAAGGATTTTGGAAATGACAACCACTAAATACTGAAGCAGTCTCCTGCCTGACACAGCCACAGCTTTGGGGAAGTCAGAGCCTGGTGTGAGAAGAGGGCAGTTCCCCTTCCTGTGGGGCTGCTGAAGTACAACCATGTCATGGGGAGTGGGCTGTCTCAAGAGGCCGCACCCTATGTCTCCTGCCCCTTCTACAGACTCTGTAGCTCTGCCCATTAGTACAATAGCAGCCTCCAGGAGGAGATGCCATGACCTTCACCTTCACAGCCCTGCTCTGTCTGGGTGAGATGTGGGGATGGGGAGGGGATATGGAATCGGGGATTGACGCTGCCCCACAGCCCAGCAATGGTCAGTAGGGAAACCCCAGGGCATCAGGAGGTTCTGCAGAGTCAAGGACCTTCTCAAGCTTCAGGGACAAACCTCTCACAGGGATCTCTCTTCCAGGACTGGCTCTGGGCCTTGGGACACCAGTGCTGGCAGGTGAGTGAGGGTCTGCAGATGTCCTGACATCACTTGTCATCCTTCCTGGAGCCGTTCTGGGCAGTGAGGATGGAAACCACACATGTGTGCTGCTGCCTCTGGGGATGGTTGGAGGGTTGGGGTAGGAGGCTGCAATCTGAGGATGGATGCCCTCATTCCTAGCTGATCTTTTCCTTGAAAAAACACTCCCTAAGCCTACTCTCTAGAGTACAGCCAGACTCTGTGGTCTCTGAGCAGACTACAGTGACCTTCTTGTGTGAGGGGACCACAGGAGCCAAACGGTACATTCTTTATGAAGATAGATTCAAATATTTAACACAGACAGAGATTACACTGAATCCTAAAAAGACTAAATTTGCAATCACAAAAAATAGGCCTAAAAGAAGCAGGGAGATACCAATGTTGCTATCAGACCCGTGATGGATGGTCAGAGTACAGTGACTCTCTGGCGCTGGTGGTGTCAGGTGAGAGGACTCAGAGTCCACAGCCTCAGAGTTGACTGTAGGGAAGTGTGTCTGTACACATGGATGACTCCACCTACAGCCACACAGGATAGTGATGCCTGATTTAACTGCTTCCTCCTCCTCTCCTAGGGGCCTACAGTAAGCCCACCCTCTCAGCCTTGCCCAGCCCTGTAGTGATTGAGGGAGGAAATGTCACCCTCCAGTGTGTCTCAAGTCAACGATGTTGCAAGTTCATTCTGACTAAGGAAGGAACACGGGAGCGCTCCTGGACATGGAACTCACGGTATAACCACTCTACTCGGCAGTACCAGGCTCGTCTCCCTGTGGGTCCTGTGACCTCCAGCCAAAGGTGGACATTCAGATGCTACAGCTTTAATAACAACAGCCCACTGGTGTGGTCAGAACTTAGTGACCCCCTGGAGCTCCTGTTCTATGGTGAGGGGCCAAACACTTTACAGGGGGCGATGCTGAAATGACGGTGACACCACCACGCTGTGCCACTTTACCCTGGCTTCTCATTTTTTTTTTTTCACTTTGTAGAGGTACACTGTGTAGCCATGTATGTCCGGGACATCGCTCTGTAGAGCAGGCTGGCCTTGAACTCACAGATATCTGCCTGTATTTGCCTCCTAAGTGCTGGTATTAAGGGCATGTGCCACCACTACCTAACTAGATTGACATTTTTGTGAGATTCATAACAATAGGAGTCTGGAAGTCTCTGACTCTTTACCTACACAGGGGAACTTTTTCCTCCTACTGGGTTGCCTGCTCCGGCCTTAGTAGGAGGGTGTTTGTCTAGTCTTACCGCATGTGGTTTTGTCATGTTCCATTAATATCACTAGGAACCATGCTCTGTTCTGAGGGAAACAGAGGAGCAATGGTTCTGGGGGAGAGGGGAATTCGGAGGACTTCTGTGAGAATGTATTGTTTAACAGAAGAATAACTTAAGTAGAAAACAAAATGCCAACCACAAGTGTGACATTTATTTTCTGTGCCACTTTCAGACAGACACATCTCCTTCTCTCCTGTGTCCATACAGGGACCCAACACAAACCCACCATCTGGGCTGAGCCAGGCACTGTGGTTGCCATAGGAAGCCCCATGAACATCTCATGTCGAGGGGCCCTAGATGTAGAAATGTATTTTCTGCATAAAGAGGGAAGCCAACAAACCTGGGGTACACAGACCCCAAAGAAGCCTGGGGACAAGTCCACATTCTCCATTCCTTCTGTGACAGAGGACAGTGGGGGGCAATATCGCTGTTACAGTTACAGGTCATCTGGCTGGTCAGAGCGCAGTGACAGCCTGGAGCTGGTGGTGACAGGTGAGGGGACAGTCAGGATCTGCTCTGAGGAGTATCCCCTCCCAAAACCTAGTCCCTCGAAAGCATTGTGACTGTGCAATCCCATATAACAGGCTGCCTCCTTCTTTCCTAGGAATCCACGACACTAAACCCCTCCTAACTGCACTGCCCAGCCCTGTGGTGACCTCAGGAATGAATGTGACCCTCCTGTGTGTCTCATGGGTGGGCTATGACAAGTTCATTCTCACGAAGGAAGATCAGAAGTTCTCCAGCTCCCTGAACTCACAGTACATACACAGTATTAGGCAGTACCAAGCCTATTTTTCTATAGCTCGTATGACCCCAGATAATACAGGGACGTTCCAATGCTACGGTTGCTACAAGCAAACCCCACAGTTGTGGTCAGGACCCAGTGACCCTCTAGAAATACACATCTCAGGTGAGTCAGCCGCATCACTGACCAATCACTTTTTGACATTCTACACCCTGTCCTGCTGAGTATTTGCAAGTAAAAAGTATAAAAAAGGAAGATCCTGGTGGCTGATCTAAAGCTGGGTAGAAGCAGTGACATGTGTAGGATGGGTTTGAGAGGGAATAGGCGTTAGCTGAAAATCAGCTCGCTAATCTCTACCCTGTCACTTTCCCTCCAGGCCTGTCCAAGAAGCCCTCCTTACAGACTCACCAAGGCCACATCCTGGATCCTGGGAGGAACCTCACCCTTCAGTGTTGCTCTGACATCAACTATGACAGATTTGCTCTGTACAAGGTGGGTGGAACAGACTTCACCCAGCACTATGGACAGAGGACCCAGGCTGGCCTCACCTTGGCCAACTTCACACTAGACTCTACTGGAGGCCAATACAGATGCTATGGTGGACACAACCTCTCCTCTGAGTTGTCACTGTCTAGTGACCCCCTGGACATCTTGGTCACAGGTGAGGATCAAAAGTTTCAACCGTGTGTGTGTGTGTGTGTGTATTCCCTTCTTGGGCTCTCATAGGGAAGTTAAGGAGGTGATGACTGGGATGATGGACAGGGGTCATATTTGATAACAGATGTAGGCACATGAGAGCAGGAGAGGGGCTCAGGCAGAGAAATCAGTCTCAGGTGCTCAAGGCAGACCCAGGTGAGGTCACTCAGAACACTGAAGGCAGCCTCTCATCGCCCCTCTTCTCTTTAGGTCAGCTTTCTTTCACTCCTTCCCTCTCAGTGAAGCCAAACTCCACAGTACACACAGGAGACAACGTGATGCTGCTGTGTCAGTCAACATACAAAGCAGACACTTTCATTCTGTCCAAGGAGGGGGCAGCACACCAACCCCAGCGAATACAATCAAAGTTCCAAGACTGGAAGTTCCAGGCAGAATTCTCCATGAGTGCTGGGACCTCTGTGTTCTCTGGCACTTATAGGTGCTATGGTGCTTGGGACTCATCTCCCTACCTGCTGTCACATGCCAGTGCCCCTGTGGATCTCATTGTCTCAGGTGAGGTAAAGCTGAAGTGTCATGGAGGTTTACAATCCAAACCCTACAAGAGCCCTTGATTTGGGTGGGATTAAGGGGACAATATGAAGGATTAGTCAGAAGGCACTTTCCCTTCTACAGAAGTAGATGCCAAAAGAGTTCCTTCATGTTTGTCAACTCCATCATCTATTGAAAGGTAGGATTTGTTTGGCAGCATTAGGATCTCGGAGAGGTTACAGGGAAGATATAGAAGAGTGATAAGTTGCAGGTCCCTGGGAGAGCATCTAACTCTCATCCTCCTCTTGTTATTTTTCCTATATGCACATTGGAGCCTCTGGTTTGTCAACCTCAAGGCCCACACCAACAGTTGGTAAGTGTCAGGCACCTAAGTGTAGGAAGTATGTTCTTTCCCCAGGTAGTCTGTGAAATGTTAGCCCAGAAAACTCATTTCCCTGTCTCTTCAGCTTATTAGTGTGGGAGGCAAACAGAGAGACCAACAGAGACTCCAGAAGCCCAAGGTTCAGTTTGTGTTACTTGTGGCATCCAGAGAGAGATGCAGAGGATTAGTGTGGAGGATGGGCCGGGTGGGTGAGGTGGAAAGCAAGGATCCCAGAACCTCACCTACTAACTCACCTACCAAAGACTCCCTGACAACTGAGGACTTGATAACAAACCTCTCACCTGCATGGAATAAGTGCCCAGAAGGCTATGTAAAGACCCTGTTAAAATGCAGTGCCCAGGGTGGGCAATAGCTAGTTATGGAGTTGATACGGCTACTTCTGGAGATCCCACCTTGGGCAAATCCTTCTGTTTCTGAACTACTTCTTTACTGCACAAGAAAGGGATAAATGCTGTGCACCTCTTTGAGTTTCTTTCGGTGCAGGTTTGGTTTTGATTTCGCACTACAGAAGAATCCCCCAGACTCTGCAGGAGTACTTTCCCTCAGTGGTTATGAACTATGTTAAGAGGGAGTCACAGGGCCAGGGCAGAATATTCAGGCCCCTTCTTCTAGATCATAGGGCATAGGTCCAGTATTCCCTGTGAGTTCTATGACATCCACTGTCAGGGACACCTAAAGGTGCTATAGATAACTCAACGCATCTCTTTACTTGTCCTCATGTGCCAGTGCCATTGAGGAGCACATGGTCCCAGCCAGGTGATCCAGATAATTCTGTGCTGAAGGGCTACCTGAGCATTCCCAATTTATAGCAATTATTAACTAGTATTGGATTACAAATGACGCAGAGAACGCAGATGGATATTCACACTCATGAAGGTGGAGGCCAACACGAATACTTATGGGAATGCTCACCACAAACATTGGTAATGGAATCCAGAAGGTTTCAGGTAGTCCAAAAGAGCATCTTGGGAGGCCACAGACAAATATAGCTATAAGGAAAAACCATCCAGAGTGCCAAACTTTGCTCATAACTGTCCACTTTAAAAAAAAAGAATTCAGAACCCTCATTCTCAGTGCATCCATGGCCCACAGTGTCTCCAGATGTGGAAGTAGCTTTCTTGTAATAAGTACAAAACTTCCCATAAACTCCTTTAGTCCAAAACAGATACACATCCCTTGCTGAACCCTATCAGACAGAATTTGTTTAAAGAATATGAATATGACAATGATCACATTAGTCAAAATAAAATCCAGCAGTCTCGATCAAAGACTATTGCCTTATGAAGTCTTCTACATTTCACTTTTAGGTAAAAGAGAGGAACTGAGACTGTATGGATTCAGCCATCTTTTGAGGGGTGACAGCTAATAATGTCAGCTGCCTGACCTTAGTAAACTCCCCTGAACAAAAGAAGGTTTGGGAATAGGACTCCCAGGGACTACCGACCACTGACACTTGAGTCTCATAAAGTGGTATGAGGCCTGCACTACACTCTCCTCACATTACATCCTGCCCTGTTTGACTCAGTAACTATTATTTGAAGTAAAGGAAAGATATGTCAGTCTTGGGGGTCTATGATTAGTGTGAGTAACCATGCTACTGGGGGAACTACTAGGTGGAAGCACAGTTGCTTACAATTCACTCTCATTCCTGGTGCACACATACATGCACTCACTTCACACCATCTTTTGAAATCCAGGGCATGACACTGGCCCAAAACCTTGGGCCTACATTTCTGAAATGGTGTGTAGAAGAAACAGATGGAGGGCAATCTACATCAAGAGCATGTGCTCCTACATGAGCTGGACTTACAGAAATTTCTTGGCCTGACCTGGGGAGGAAAATCAGGGAAAATTTAGTAACAAGACCCCGGCTCTCAATATTATCAAGAATCATCTCTCATTTCAGAGAAGCTGTAAGGTGGTTTCTCCTCAACCACCCTTCAGTGGTCTCTAGGTATTCAGAACATTTCAGGGGAAGGCTCAGATCAAGGGAGAGGTGGGAGGTCTCAGAGTGACAGGAAAGAAACTCTCAGCAAAAACCCACTGAGGAAATCATCTTAGACTGAGCACCTGAATCTGCACAACCTCCGCTGAGCTGAGTAGAGATGCCACACTCAGATGCTGCTGGGACTGCTCAGTGCAGTGACCCATAAAGGAATGCCCTATAGTGTCAATTTATTCTACTCTGAACTTACTGGTTTCAGGGCTGTGGTCACAGAGGTGCTGAAGATTGTGGTAAGAACTCCTAGTGGAAACTGGGTTGTTTCTGACCCTATTACTCACTTCTCCGATTTAAATCTTCTACTGGACTAAGGGTCCCAATCCTCACAATGGATCACCTTGCCCAGCCTTAATATATGGGGAGGTACTTAGTCTTCCTGCAACTTTATATTCCACAATTGTTGATACTCATGAGAGACCTGCCCTTTCCTAAAAAGAAACAGAGAAGGAGAGAATTCTGTGGTAGGAAATAAATGGAGTTGGAAGGCGTGATTGGGATTACAGGTTATACTGGATACTGTAGCTGGGATGTTAAATCAATATATATAATGGATTTAAGAAAAAGAATAAGAAATGTAACCTAACTATGCCATCAGAAAGGTTAATCCCAGATTTCATGAGCTTATAGGATAAGAATGAGTATTTACAGTAAATGAGAAAGTGGAACGAAAAAGAAACACTTTTCAGCCTGTACACATCCTCTTTGTTATCAGGATCAGCTGAGATTATCATCCCATCCTAGAACACTTGAAAACCCAAGACAGTTGAATAAAAGGACATCAAAGTCAGCACTGGAAACAGAGACTCCAAGATTTGTCCAGGGAAAGCAGGAGCCCTGGATGGACATTTAGTGATCTTAGGGACATTTAGATACCTTGAGGCAATTTTGACCATCCCTAACCTCTGTATATTCTTTGTCCACAACCACAGCCTCAGAGAACAAAGACCACACAGTGGAGAATCTTATCAGGATGGGGATTGCTGTTCTGATCCTCATAGTCCTTGGGATTCTGGTCTTTGAGGCTTGGGACAGCCAGAATCAGGCCGACCATGCAGCTAAGAAGCAATCAGAAGAGAAATAAGCACATCTCTCAAGGTTCCAGAGTCTGGAAATACACCTTATGATCCAACTTTCTATAAGGAAATCCTGTTCTTACTTTGAGAAAATTATATGAGAGAATGTCCAGGGAGCAAATGTAATTTGGGTGCAGGGGAAGGTGTGAGTGCTGTGATGAGATCATTACTCAGCACATGAATTTACATCCTTTGACCTACTCTGGCATTTGTTGATGAACCAACTCTTTCTGGGTCTATAAAGTGAGGAACTATGCTATCCCATCTGTCTGGCTTGGGTCCCCATAACTGTACACTTTTCTTTCCATCTGTCTCATCTATATTTTTCCATTTTTACAAATGGCCACATTCTCTATAGCAGGAGTTTCTGTCTGTTGGTCTAGAAACCAAGAAGTTGCATCAATAACAAAAATAATGACTAAAGTCAGAGCCCAGAATTAAAGACACTCTCTGCCTATGATGCCTCAAACCTTTCATTATGTACATTCAACCTTTCGGTCTT